CTACAGTAGAGAAGCATCTTACTATATCATTGAACAACCTACAGTGGACAAGCAGCTTACTATATCATTGAACAACCTACAGTGGAGAAGCAGCTTACTATATCATTGAACAACCTACAGTGGAGAAGTATCTTACTATATCATTGAACAACCTACAGTAGAGAAGCAGCTTACTATATCATTGAACAACCTACAGTGGAGAAGCAGCTTACTATATGATTGAACAACCTACAGTGGAGAAGCATCTTACTATATGATTGAACAACCTACAGTAGAGAAGCAGCTTACTATATCATTGAACAACCTACAGTGGAGAAGCATCTTACTATATGATTGAACAACCTACAGTAGAGAAGCAGCTTACTATATCATTGAACAACCTACAGTGGAGAAGCAGCTTACTATATCATTGAACAACCTACAGTAGAGAAGCATCTTACTATATCATTGAACAACCTACAGTGGAGAAGCAGCTTACTATATCATTGAACAACCTACAGTGGAGAAGCAGCTTACTATATGAATGAACAACCTACAGTAGAGAAGCAGCTTACTATATCATTGAACAACCTACAGTGGAGAAGCAGCTTACTATATCATTGAACAACCTACAGTGGAGAAGCAGCTTACTATATCATTGAACAACCTACAGTGGAGAAGCAGCTTACTATATCATTGAACAACCTACAGTGGAGAAGCAGCTTACTATATCATTGAACAACCTACAGTGGAGAAGCATCTTACTATATCATTGAACAACCTACAGTGGAGAAGCATCTTACTATATCATTGAACAACCTACAGTGGAGAAGCAGCTTACTATATCATTGAACAACCTACAGTAGAGAAGCAGCTTACTATATCATTGAACAACCTGCAGTGGAGAAGCATCTTACTATATCATTGAACAACCTACAGTAGAGAAGCAGCTTACTATATCATTGAACAACCTACAGTGGAGAAGCAGCTTACTATATGATTGAACAACCTACAGTAGAGAAGCAGCTTGCTATATCATTGAACAACCTACAGTAGAGAAGCAGCTTACTATATCATTGAACAACCTACAGTGGAGAAGCAGCTTACTATATCATTGAACAACCTACAGTGGAGAAGCATCTTACTATATCATTGAACAACCTACAGTGGAGAAGCAGCTTACTATATCATTGAACAACCTACAGTGGAGAAGCATCTTACTATATCATTGAACAACCTACAGTGGAGAAGCAGCTTACTATATCATTGAACAACCTAGAGTGGAGAAGCAGCTTACTATATCATTGAACAACCTACAGTGGAGAAGCATCTTACTATATCAATGAACAACCTACAGTAGAGAAGCAGCTTACTATATCATTGAACAACCTGCAGTGGAGAAGCAGCTTACTATATCATTGAACAACCTACAGTGGAGAAGCATCTTACTATATCATTGAACAACCTACAGTGGAGAAGCAGCTTACTATATCATTGAACAACCTACAGTGGAGAAGCAGCTTACTATATGATTGAACAACCTACAGTAGAGAAGCATCTTACTATATCATTGAACAACCTACAGTGGACAAGCAGCTTACTATATCATTGAACAACCTACAGTGGAGAAGCAGCTTACTATATCATTGAACAACCTACAGTGGAGAAGCAGCTTACTATATCATTGAACAACCTACAGTGGAGAAGCATCTTACTATATCATTGAACAACCTACAGTAGAGAAGCAGCTTACTATATCATTGAACAACCTACAGTGGAGAAGCAGCTTACTATATGATTGAACAACCTACAGTGGAGAAGCATCTTACTATATGATTGAACAACCTACAGTAGAGAAGCAGCTTACTATATCATTGAACAACCTACAGTGGAGAAGCAGCTTACTATATGATTGAACAACCTACAGTAGAGAAGCAGCTTACTATATCATTGAACAACCTACAGTGGAGAAGCAGCTTACTATATGATTGAACAACCTACAGTAGAGAAGCAGCTTACTATATCATTGAACAACCTACAGTGGAGAAGCAGCTTACTGTATCATTGAACAACCTACAGTGGAGAAGCATCTTACTATATCATTGAACAACCTACAGTGGAGAAGCAGCTTACTATATCATTGAACAACCTACAGTAGAGAAGCAGCTTACTATATCATTGAACAACCTACAGTGGAGAAGCAGCTTACTATATGATTGAACAACCTACAGTAGAGAAGCAGCTTACTATATCATTGAACAACCTACAGTGGAGAAGCAGCTTACTGTATCATTGAACAACCTACAGTGGAGAAGCATCTTACTATATCATTGAACAACCTACAGTGGAGAAGCAGCTTACTATATCATTGAACAACCTACAGTAGAGAAGCAGCTTACTATATCATTGAACAACCTACAGTGGAGAAGCAGCTTACTGTATCATTGAACAACCTACAGTGGAGAAGCATCTTACTATATCATTGAACAACCTACAGTAGAGAAGCAGCTTACTATATCATTGAACAACCTACAGTGGAGAAGCAGCTTACTATATCATTGAACAACCTACAGTGGAGAAGCATCTTACTATATCATTGAACAACCTACAGTGGAGAAGCAGCTTACTATATCATTGAACAACCTACAGTGGAGAAGCATCTTACTAGATCAATGAACAACCTACAGTGGAGAAGCAGCTTACTATATCATTGAACAACCTGCAGTGGAGAAGCAGCTTACTATATCATTGAACAACCTACAGTGGAGAAGCATCTTACTATATCATTGAACAACCTACAGTGGAGAAGCAGCTTACTATATCATTGAACAACCTACAGTGGAGAAGCATCTTACTATATCATTGAACAACCTACAGTGGAGAAGCAGCTTACTATATCATTGAACAACCTACAGTAGAGAAGCATCTTACTATATGATTGAACAACCTACAGTGGAGAAGCAGCTTACTATATCATTGAACAACCTACAGTAGAGAAGCATCTTACTATATCATTGAACAACCTGCAGTGGAGAAGCAGCTTACTATATCATTGAACAACCTACAGTGGAGAAGCAGCTTACTATATCATTGAACAACCTACAGTGAAGAAGCATCTTACTATATCATTGAACAACCTACAGTGGAGAAGGAGCTTACTGTATCATTGAACAACCTACAGTGGAGAAGCATCTTACTATATCATTGAACAACCTACAGTGGAGAAGCAGCTTACTGTATCATTGAACAACCTACAGTGGAGAAGCAGCTTACTATATCATTGAACAACCTACAGTAGAGAAGCAGCTTACTATATCATTGAACAACCTACAGTAGAGAGGCATCTTACTATATGATTGAACAACCTACAGTGGAGAAGCATCTTACTATATCATTGAACAACCTACAGTGGAGAAGCAGCTTACTATATCATTGAACAACCTACAGTAGAGAAGCATCTTACTATATCATTGAACAACCTACAGTAGAGAAGCAGCTTACTATATCATTGAACAACCTACAGTAGAGAAGCATCTTACTATATGATTGAACAACCTACAGTGGAGAAGCAGCTTACTATATCATTGAACAACCTACAGTAGAGAAGCATCTTACTATATCATTGAACAACCTGCAGTGGAGAAGCAGCTTACTATATCATTGAACATCCTACAGTGGAGAAGCAGCTTACTATATCATTGAACAACCTACAGTGAAGAAGCATCTTACTATATCATTGAACAACCTACAGTGGAGGAGGAGCTTACTGTATCATTGAACAACCTACAGTGGAGAAGCATCTTACTATATCATTGAACAACCTACAGTGGAGAAGCAGCTTACTGTATCATTGAACAACCTACAGTGGAGAAGCATCTTACTATATCATTGAACAACCTACAGTAGAGAAGCAGCTTACTATATCATTGAACAACCTACAGTAGAGAGGCATCTTACTATATGATTGAACAACCTACAGTGGAGAAGCAGCTTACTATATCATTGAACAACCTACAGTAGAGAAGCATCTTACTATATCATTGAACAACCTACAGTGGAGAAGCAGCTTACTATATCATTGAACAACCTACAGTGAAGAAGCATCTTACTATATCATTGAACAACCTACAGTGGAGAAGCAGCTTACTATATCATGGAACAACCTACAGTAGAGAAGCAGCTTACTGTATCATTGAACAACCTACAGTGGAGAAGCATCTTACTATATCATTGAACAACCTACAGTGGAGAAGCATCTTACTATATAATTGAACAACCTACAGTGGAGAAGCAGCTTACTATATCATTGAACAACCTACAGTAGAGAAGCAGCTTACTATATCATTGAACAACCTACAGTAGAGAAGCAGCTTACTATATCATTGAACAACCTACAGTGGAGAAGCATCTTACTATATCATTGAACAACCTACAGTAGAGAAGCAGCTTACTACATCATTGAACAACCTACAGTAGAGAAGCAGCTTACTACATCATTGAACAACCTAGAGTGGAGAGGCAGCTTACTACATCATTGAACAACCTAGAGTGGAGAAGCAGCTTACTATATCATTGAACAACCTACAGTGGAGAAGCAGCTTACTATATCATTGAACAACCTGCAGTGGAGAAGCAGCTTACTATATCATTGAACAACCTACAGTGGAGAAGCAGCTTACTATATCATTGAACAACCTACAGTGGATATGCAGCTTACTATATCATTGAACAACCTACAGTGGAGAAACAGCTTACTATATCATTGAACAACCTACAGTGGAGAAGCATCTTACTATATCATTGAACAACCTACAGTGGAGAAGCAGCTTACTATATCATTGAACAACCTACAGTGGAGAAGCAGCTTACTATATCATTGAACAACCTACAGTAGAGAAGTATCTTACTATATCAATGAACAACCTACAGTGGAGAAGCATCTTACTATATCATTGAACAACCTACAGTGGAGAAGCATCTTACTATATCATTGAACAACCTAGAGTGGAGAAGCAGCTTACTGTATCATTGAAGCCTCTGTGGAAACCATTCATTTCAGAAACCGTGAAACCAATAGCTCGTTCGGTGATTTTCCATGACGCCGGAGCACATCGTCGGTCAGCTGCAGCCACGACAACGGTAACAACGACGACATCTAACAGCGTCAGAACGTTCATAGTTCCTGAAGACAGTAGAATAGAGCTTATAACGGCTGACGGTAGAGCCTATATACATAGAAATATATGCATAGAAACATGCACACTTGGCGAAGAGTGACAACCAACATCGCCCGATTTACATTGTGTATTAGTCTACTGTGTTTTTAAAGACAATACGATATAATAACACAATCATACATATTGTCAATGCAATATTTTGGGTCCTGATGATTGAATGATCAGATCAACATTAAGAGAAATATATATGAATGTATGCAGAGAATTAATGAAACAAAATATACACTTTATTTCTTAGTTCTGGAGGATTCTGATGTGTTATTGAAAATGGATTTAATACCGCTTCAATTAATCACAGTGGTGTTTTGAGAACCTTCAACCATGCATTGGCTGACATGGTAATGAAAAAATGCTGAATAAATGAATAACCAGTGTTCATGTGATGGATATTTATTATGCCTAACAATATTGCAGATAGAACATAGATAAACAGTGATTGAATGAATATGTGTTGTCACGATATAAAACAACATCGACAGGGATGTATACATGTCAGTCAGACAGTGAATCAGTCATTTCGTGAAATGGCCAAAACATGCAGTCATCTCATGAAATGACAATTTGTTCCTTGCCATTTCATGATATGTCTGAAATATGAGCGTGTGTTGTACACTACCTGACTTACACCATTGGTTATATACCGAACTCCATCTCAGATCAGATAACACTCACTGACTACAGTCGAACTCCGTTATCTCGAACATAGTGGAGCCCTATTGTAACTGCGAGATATCCGGACATTCGAGATAGCGAGTGAGTGAGTATGGTTTTACGCCGCTTTTAGCAATATTCCAGCAATATCACGGCGGGGGACATCAGAAATGGGCTTCACCCATTGTACCAATGTCGGGAATCGAACCCGGGTCTTCTGCGTGACGGCCGAACGCTTTAACCACAAGGCTACCCGACCGGCCCCTCGAAATAACGAGGCAATGACATATATGCATATTGTAGGTGACAGGTTCGACATATCAGTATATTCGAAACAACGATGTTCGAGATGACAATGCTCGACTGTACTTCAGTTTTCTCATCCACTATTAAACAAACAACATGTGTATGTATATATGGTATATGGTATTTATGTGTATTTTGGGGCTAAGTTAATGGCAAAAACACACATTCCGCGCTTCAGCCAATTAAAGTTAAACGAAAAGAATGACAATATAAGTATGATATTTTTTAAAGGGCAGGATTCGCGAACACCTGGTGTCATCATTACTTCATAGTGATCCAGAAACATATGCTTACTGCTTACTTTGTGGACCTCAGTTTAGCAACTGTGGTCGTGGGGAGTAGTTGGAAGGGTGACCGCATTCAGCATCTTGACTCTTTAGAGTTTCTAGGGCTACGGTCCTGCTCAACACTGAAGCGCATGTAGCACATGTGGTGTCACCTCAGGCAATTGAGTGAGTGAATATGGTTTTACGCCGCTTTTAGCAATATTCCAACAATATCACGGCGGGGGACACCAGAAATGGGCTTCACACATTGTACCCATGTCGGGAATCGAACCCGGGTCTTCGGCGTGACAAGCGAACGCTTTAACCAATAGGCTACCCGACCACCCCCTTAGGCAAGTGACTTTGTTCGAAACGTGTCTCTGTTCACCCAGCAGGGAATTATTATCATAATTATTATTTTACAGATTGAAATAAAAAAAACGATGCAAAGAGGGATTGGGTTATCCTTGCACAGTCAGGCTGGTTAGGCTCATCAACAGGTCAGGGCCCTTGCCCCCTCTACACGCAGCCCAGACTGGGAATGGGACTTCTCCCAGGAAGCGCCGCCAAGTCAAACACACCCAGAACTTTTCGGAGAATGTGAAGACTCCCCAACACTGCAGCCGTCTGCATTACCCAGATTGTCAGAAGGTCTGTATTCCTGGTAGGAAAACCGGATACTCTCCCAATGTCAATCAACAGATTGGGAGGTACCAAACCTAAGGCACCGAGAACAATGGGGAGTCAGACAACTTGGTACTTGAGATGCAAGCGTGACATTATTATTATTATTATTATCATTATTATTATTATTATTATTATTATTATTATTATTATTAATACAGAATCGTACAGTGTAGATTTCTTTGGAATGTGACAAGGGTTCTGTCGCTGGTAAATACATCAAAACAGAGACAATACATTTAATGCACTGAGTAATTTTATTGACAATACAACGATACAAAAGATACATCAACAAGGTATATAAACACACAGATACAGCAATATGTGACACATATCAAATCCGGGGACGAATCTCATACATAAATCTCATCGTCAATCTTTTGGGAACGGCGGCCATTCTTGTTCAGACTTTGTTGCACTTCAGCCTAGCAGCAGCCTCCTCAAAGGCCCAGCAGCAGCCTCCTCAAAGGCCCAGCAGACAGGTCCAGCTCAGCCTCTGGGAGATACTGCAACATACATTGCTCCATCAGATACTAATTCATCAAAGACGTATGTGTTAGGGTTGATCAATTGAAGGTGGAAAGCCAAAACGTTCTTCACGAGTCTAGAACTAAACACCAACTGGCCAAACTTTCTTTGGGTAAGATTGTATTTATCATCCAAAACTGGCTCCTACATTGCAGATATCGCTGCAATGAAATTGCATCACAATGCCTTTCAGACCATTGTGACGTCATTGTTACCATGACTTCACAATAAAACGTGAGGTGAGGTGAAATGGGCTTTTACGTCGTGACCAAGATTACTGCACTTATATAGCGACGTTCATGCATATGTGTGTGTGTGTGTGTACGTGTTTGTGTGGCTGCTTGTTCTAGTCCGGACTGATGCTTATTTATAGTGCTAGCTCACTGAGATACCATGCCGCAGTTTAACATGAATACCCCACTCAGACACAGTATACTGACTCCGAGCCGACCAGTCCTTGTTTGAGCCCCGTCATGCCCAGCGCCAGACAGGGTAACAACAAGAACCATCTTTTAACGTCTTTTGGTATGACGCGGCCGGGGGTCGAACCCCGGACCTTCCGCCCTGCGGGCGGACGCTCTACCACTAGACCACGGAGGCGGGTTGATCAATTGGAAGGCGAACAAAACAGGGGACAACTACTTTCGTTCACTTTTCTCTGAATCTTTTCTTGTTTTCGTTTTGTTTAAAAGAGCCGAGTGCAGTGTGTACCCAGTTGTGTTTGTGGGTGTTCTTGATGGGAAAATACATTGAAAGGTTTTACTACCGCATCAGTTTGGTTGTCAGAAAAAATAGAACTGTCCTACCTCCTTTCTCACTTTTGTATGCAATAATAATAATAATAATAATAATAATAATAATAATAATAATAATAATAATAATAATAATGTGTGATTTTGCATCAAAATGTAAATATGAAATGTCGATTATGTAATGAATTTAATGAGACTGTCCAACACATTGTCAGTGGATGCCCTGCTTTGGCAGAAACACAGTGTCTTAAACGACATGATGGTGTAGCTCGATCATTTTACTACCGTCTTCGCCATGCTTGTGGTTTTGACACAGAGGTCCACCCATGGTACGACCGGGAATATGTAGAGGGCGTCATGGAAAATGATAAATACAAAATTCTTTGGAATAGGCTCATTTACAGCCTCAGACGTATCCAGGCCAACAAACCTGATCTTGTCCTTTTTGATAAATCCAATGAAATCATTTATATCATTGAATTGGCTGTCCCCTTTGACACTAATGTGATTGACAAGATTGAAGACAAACATGGCAAATATGCGGAACTCGCTTTCGAAATGACACGCTTGCATCCCAAGTACCAAGTTGTCCGACTCCCCATTGTTTTCGGTGCCTTAGGTTTGGTACCTTCCAATCTTATGACTAGGTTTGACTAAGCAGCGCTTCCTGGGAGAGGTCTGACTGTGCCAGGATCACCAAACCCTCTTTGCTGCATTTTGTATTTTAATCTGTACATCATCATCATCATCATCATCATCATCATCATCATCATCGCCATAACAACATCATACCGAGCTGCTGCAACTGGCCGGGGGAGTGAAGACGTCAGCATCAGCAGCAGGTATCGGAGATGCAACGTTGCCTACCAGAGACAGTAGCAGGTACTTATCTGAGAAAAACAAAAACAATGCGTTGCTCATTCTGAAATCATGTGGGATAAACGTTGATTTGAACAGTATTTCAGATATATAACGGCGTGTCTGCCTGATGTGGGAGGAAAGCCGTTGTGATGCTGAAACCCACGAGCACGGGTATGGCGCTGATAAACCTATAAACATATCAGGACGTATCTTGGATTCACAAACAAACGCTAGAAGATCCGGGGTAGACTAGGTCTTCAGCAACCCATGCTTGCCGTAAAAGGCGACTACGCCTGAAAGAGGCGACTAACGGGATCGGGTGGTCAGGCTCGTTGACTTGGTTGATACATGTCATCGGATCCTAATTGCATGGATCGATGCTCATGAGATCAATCACTGGAATGTATTGTCCAGACTCGATTATTTACAGACCGCCGTCATATAACCGGAATATTGCTGAGTGCCGTGTTAAACAACAACCAAACAAACGCAAAAGAAAATTCATCAGGTAAACACTAATTCAGTGTTTACCAGATAAACATGTTAACAGTTGGTTGTAAAGGCATTCCCACAGAAATAACTACAGGACACTACATTTGGGTCTTGGGGGAAAGTTACAACAGGACTTGGCAAGGAATGCAAACAGAACTTAGGTCGGCTTGCATTATGTACGTACCCCCACCGCGTCCGAATGTATAGGATTGTATTGGAACGTTGAGGTCGCTGGTGATGGCCGTAATATGTCCCACAGTGTGGCTGTGGACGACGTTTTCTGTGTAGTAGACTTTGGCATCCACGGTGTCCGTGCCGTCAGCTGTGTATCCTAACTTGGCGTCGTACAGGAACGTGGCGTCGTCTGAAATCATATTAATGTTTGCCTGTTGTTATCCCTGCATTGGAAATATTCTAGCTGTTAAATGTTAAAAGTTAGTTTCTAAATATATAACGAGATCTCGCGAGCGCGAGACTCCATTCAAGATGGCGGCCCCTAATCAGTGATCGCGTTCGATGTCATCAGGGCACTGTTACTGGTAAGTAGTGTTCTGTGTGATGGAATGACCGTTAGACCTCAGTCTGGTTCAGAGTGATGCTGTGCGCGCACGTACATGTCTGTTCTTGAATATTACCAGATAAAAAACATTAGTCAACACATCGTTGAGTCATCGCTGGCCACAAAGGCGGCAGCGTATTGATAAGTTTCCAACGTGCACTGTCCAGGAGAGCATGTCACCCAAAAGAAGTTACAAGCCCTCGTCATATTTTACTTGCCCAAAACACTTCCGACAACTACGAAATGAAACAGACTTTGACATTAAATGACGCCTGAACTGTCTTGATGATTCGTTAAAATAAATATGTACTTGAAGAAAGAAAAGTTCTATGGATGAACAACTTCTTTATTACAAGTTATACGTCGTCTACATGGAGACGTGGCAATCTCAGCTATCAACAAACTCAGCAACCTAGAAAGAGCACTAATTGTAATAAAGAAGTTGTTCATCCATATAACTTGTCTTTCTTCATCACACTAACTTCTAAATGCCACTGAAAAAAAACATGTACTTGCTCAAGTTTTCAATTAGATAGTCGAGCCGGCACCACACAGTAATTATAACGGGAATCGAACCCGGACCGCCGGGTACGCGCGAAGGTTTTAATCATTCTGATACCCGTCGCAGTTCTTTCAATTAGAAATATTACATTTGACATCAGATGCTATTTCTAGGTAATTATATTAGCATATATACATGTATCGAAACACACATGGTCATCGCTGAAATCATCGTCAGTACTTCCCAGGCTGTGTGAAAACACCATGTTCCTCAATCACCCGAAATACATACAGACGCTTCATAACCAGCCAATCAACAACGGCCTTGTTCCAGCGAATTGGACACCAGAGAGTACTCAGACCAATGAGCGCCCAGCTTATATCGCATTACGGCATCGTTCTCTAGGGATTGCTTCAGTGAGTTAGGTTATCAGCGTGATGAAACTCGAGAGCATGGTATGGTGCTGACAAGCCTAGAAATTATGGGGGCGAACCGGGATTCCAACAGACAATCATTCGTTTCCAAGGGATGCAACTCCGCAAAGCTAATTGCGGTGCCTTTGGCGACTGGGCCACCCGTGCTCCCTTTGCTCCGGCGTCCGTTTCCGCACCGAGTTAGACACAATTGACTTCCGTGACTTATACATGGTCATAATTCAGTAACTGACCATCTTCCCGAGGCAAGAGAGTTAACTGACTTTAAAAGTCCAGTTTCCACCCTTGCCGAACTAGGCTGGAATTCCCTGGCTCGATCGTAGCGCCACCAGTGGTTATTACGAGTTATGTCCCTTATATACCTCTCATCTGGACCAATCAGATTCCTACTCTCTGTATCACTGGCATTTGATTCAAACAAATTGGTGGCGCCCAGTCAAGACGATAATCAAGATCTATATTGTGATAAAACGGGTCTTACATCGCAAATTGCATCAAATCACGTGAGCACCTTGTTTGAAATCATGAAAAGATTTGAAAAAATGTCTGCTGGCAACGAGTTAGCGGTGCACATGCTTTGCAAGTCCTGCAATCGACCGAAATCAGCACGACAGTTTACGAACCGGATTTCGATTTCGTTGCGCGATTTTGACTGGACTATTCATAGACTCGTTAGCCAAGACAAGATGTAATTCCATGATACCAGCCTATTTCGTCAAGGGTGGAAACTGGACTTTTATAGTCAGTTAACTCTCTTGCCTCGGGAAGATGGTAACTGACAAACTACACACACATCATCACTTCACGGCAAAGCGAACGTAGTGCATAGATACCCGTAAAGTATGGACGATGCCCCATAGCATTAAATATCAATACATTAAAGAGTTTGAGTTAGATCTCTTCTGGAAGATACGGGGCCATGGGTGGCCCAGTCGTCTAAGGCACCGAATTACCTGTGCAGAGTTGCATCCTTTGGAAACGATTGATTGTCTGTTTGAATCCCGGTTCGCCTCGATAATTTCTAGGCTTGTGGTCCCTTGGGCACGCCAGAAACCTATGATTGTGGGTTCGAATCCCGGTTCGCCCCGATTATGTTTCTAGGTTTGTCAGTACCATACCCGTGCTCGTGGGTTTCACCGAAGTGGTAAACGTCTGAGACCTGCATCACTTCGGGCTTGCCTCCCACATTAAGCTGACATGCCGTGATATAACTCGAATACTGTTAAAAACGGCGTTAAACCCAACTCACTCACTCACTCTGGGAGATACGGTGCTCATGAGCACGTGGGTGACCTACCTGTAATGCACCATTCTTTGAAGGTTTCTGTGAACGACTCTGATTTGCATGTGTTAGCCTTCAGATCGATCGTGTATTTCTTTCCCTGGGGACATAAACAATTATATAAAAACATATACGCGTTACAGCGTCACTGACGTTAGGGACTTGTCATTTGATAAAGCGGGGTGGGACGGTGAGGGTGAGGGTGAGGGGAAGTGGGTGGGGGGTGGGGTATGAACACAAAGGACAGCGTGGGGGGTGGGGGGATGAAAACATGTTTCATAAAATGGAGAGCAGCAAAATATTATACAGGGGGGGTGAGGTGAACGGGGAGGATGGGGGTGTGGGGTGTGGGGAGGGGGAGGGGGGGGGGGGTTGACATTAAATGGAAAGCAGCAAAATATTATACAGTCTTAAGCCCAATACCACCATCGGTGTTTCAATAAGTTTCTTCGACAATTGACTCAAACCATTGGCTTCCATCAATACGGCCTCACGCATATGTCTTTACTAATACCAAAAAGATCGGGTTTTTTCATTGTATCATGGTAGAATGTAGTAGAAAATTAGAGTGTTCAGTGTAGCGCTGCACGTTCGGGTAAAAAATTAAGTAAAGCTGTAATTTAAAACACAGAATGTCCATCTCCTCAATCACCACTTTCGTCATAGTAAAAGTTCGTTACATCCAACTTCGTTATATACAGAGTATACTTACTGCAGTGTAGTCGAAGATGTATTTGTTGTCCCCTGTCTTTGAGCCAACAGTGAAATTCGAGATGATGGCGGACCTTTTGTTGTCAGCGTCATAGTACACCAGGCTGTGGTCCTGTGGTTGAAAACACTCATTATATAGTCTCTTTGCTTTACGGTAAAAAACTTCAATATAAAAATACTGAGGATGCCAAAATTGATAAATGTGAAGAAAGCCTTTCCGAAATCGTAAGAAAGACACTTTCGTAAGATAAAAACCACAACAATTCTAATTATCAAATGTCATGTCAACTATATCCTACCTCGGACTGTAGTGATAGATATAGTGTCAAACACATGTACATTAAACTACGGTTATAACGAACACGCTTATAACGAACTGGTGGATATAACGAACTGTTTTTTAGGTCCCTGTCATTTGCTGTATATGTGCTGTATATATGCTTATAACGAACTACGGTTATAACGAACTAGAATGTGTGGTCCCTTTGAGTTCGCTATAACCGTAGTTTACTGTAAACACATTAGTGAACTACAACAATACCCATCATGAAAAGTCTCTCCAACTATGATACGTCAGGCTGTAGTGCAAGATAACGTGTCATGCATCGGACACTTGACTCACACAACTTTCTGTTTACACTGACGTATAGTAACCGCTAGTTTAATTCAACATGGGTATGTTTATGATTGTGATCGTAAGGACTTGGGACCCGTGAAGATTCCGGGGTAGAATAGGTCTTCAGCAACCCATGCTTGCCGTAAAAGGTGACTATGCTTGTCGTAAAAGGCGACTAACGGGATCGGGTGGTCAGGCTCGCTGACTTGGTTGATGCATGTCATCGTATCCCAATTGCGTGGATCGATGCTCATGGTATTAATCACTGGATTGTCTGGCCCAGACTCGATTATTTTACAGACCGCCGTCATATAGCTGGAATATTGCTGAGTGCGGCGTTAAACAACAAACCAACCAACGTAAGGACTTGGTAAGAAGGCTGCTGACATTACGATGACGACCATTCGTTGCAATTCAAAGTGCAGACCTGAGCCCTTGAGTTGTGCCAGGATCCGATGAAAGTTGATTTGAACCCCAGCTTCAACTTGAACATGAACCGCGGTCTGTCGACACCTCTTTCTCGTATGTTTCACCAAAGTAGTCAACGTCCGAGATATTCGTTACTTTCGGTGTTCATCCAACATTAGAATGACATACCTGTGACATGCATGCACGTGTGTGTGTGTGTGTGTGTGTGCGAGTGCTTGCGTGCGTGCATGCGTGCGTGCGTGCGTGCATCCCCCCCCCCCCCCCCCCCCCCCTCATACACACTACTGACTCCAACGCCCAACGTCATGATCAGGCAGGGTAACAAAAAGACTCTGGTACGACGCGCCCGGAATCGGACCACCGACCTTGCGCTCTCCGGGTGCAAACATTGGATGTCAGGTAGAAAGACATACAATGACGCTCGAATGTATTATTTCCACATGTACTCGCTTTCAAGTCTTTCTCTGATATCATTAATTCAACACTTAGGGAAGCATGGTAAGATCGCAACCAATAGCTCCTTCTTTCAAAGGGAGGTTCAACGCAACAGTAAAGGTTGATTTGTGTGGACGTTCGGAATGGCCTAACACTATTTTAATGTCGTGGTATTTGTTCCATGTGTATTAGTACCTGGAGTGAATGAGTGAGTTGGGTTTAACGCCGCTTTTAACAGTATTCCAGTTATATCACGGCGTGTCAGCTTAATGTGGGAGGAAAGCCCGAAGTGATGCAGGTCTCAGACGTTTACCCCTTCGGTGAAACCCACGAGCACGGGTATGGTGCTGACAAACCGGGATTCGAACCCGTGCATAAGGGACGCAACTCTGCACAGCGAATCGCGGCGCCTTAGACGACTGGGCCATCAGTACCCCTAGTACCTGGAATATCACATAGAGAACAGTGCGAGACGTTTATATGACGATAATTACCCCTTCCTTTCGCGGCTCGTACACGTTGTCAATTTTGGGAAGATACAAGCCAAGGGATACTTCTTCTGCACGCCATGACTTGGGTGGGCACCGCTTCTCCGCGACTGAACAACCGACCACAGCGACGACACAAATCAACTTCAACATCGTGATGGGCCGCTAAACACTCTAGTGACTTTATCAACAAAATGTTGGTCCACGAACAACTGTCGACATCCCTCACTTATATACCAATTTAAATTACCAACCACATGACCCTTCGAGTTTTATTAATCTAAATTAATTCATTTAATAATTACAATGGTTTGAATAAGGATAACTGGTATCATTGTAGAATATTAATTTCATTTTTTCGAAATAATAAAAATGCAATTATCGTGTCAGGGTACATATGAATATAGGACTCTTTTTTGATCGTATATTAAATATGGAGGAGAAAAAATAGAAGCGGCAAAACAATTCGTTATTCATAAGAAATATTCATTATCCATTGCACGATTCCGACTATATCATGAACATGTGTTCATGAATCACTATCAAATAGTGATGACACCAAGTGTTCGCTAATTCGATTTTATTAACAGGATAATATTTTCTTTTCAGGTGTAATCAACTTGAAAATATTCAGATAATTGACTGGAAATTGTCCGTGGTCTTGAATAAGGGCATCACACAGTATCATTCAACCGCGAACAATCAGCAATCGGCGTATATTAATAACACAATTTGGACCATGTGTTGCCGTCATAAGCAGACGGACCCACGTTCACACATGAAGCCGAACCCATTCACGCGTTTAATTTGTTCGTAGCGATTTCGTCCCGTCTGTTTTCTGTTTTGCATGGCGCGTGACTTGTTTGTTTGTTTCGAGATGAATTTGCGACGAATAGATATTATGATAATTAGAGAGTGTGTTTCTGTGTCGTAAATATGTTAGGAATGAAAAAATGTACTATATGAGACTCAGTGTTTTACGTCACGAAACACACATTGGTAAAAGTATGTTTATCATACACTGTTATTTTTAAAATGATATATTTAAGAGGTAAGTTCACTGTTTAATGGGGGGGCATTTTGTTCAATTTCATCAGGGGGCACGGGTGGCCTAGTCGTCTAAGGCGCCGCAATTCGCTGTGCAGAGTTGCGTCCCTTGGGCACCCCAGAAACCTATGATTGTTGGTTATGTTTCTAGGTTTGTCAGCAATGACCCGTGCTCGTGGGTTTCAACGAAGTGGTAAACGTCTGAGACCTGCATCACTCACTGTTTACTGAGGAAGAAGGAATCACACTGATGTAAGGAACCTGAAAGTAGTTAAGGGATCTCGTTTGCACATTTATCGGATCGAGACCCCGCGTTTATCGGATTGGTTTATTCAGAGCGATGTGTACACCACTAGACACATTATCAGGGCTAATCTCAAACCACGAGCATGGGGACACCACTAGAAACATTATCAGGCTAATCTCAAACCACGAGCATGGGTACACCACTAGAAACATTATCAGGGCCAGTCTTGGATGCGAATCCAAACAATCATTAGTATCTGGACGCTATTGCTGAAACAGAGGGTGTTAATAGTTCCTGTTGCAAGTGTCTTCCCGGGAGCACCAAATTTAATATTTAGGAGGAAAACTCATAGTGGCGCCCCCGCGACCAGTGAGGGCCCAGACACGGTTCACTGACACGGGATTTAGCGCTCCCGGTGTCAGGCACATAAAACAACAAAGTACCGCTCATCCATTGTATTACTGTAGTTAATGTTTAATTAATGCGTGTTAAGTTTAAGTGTTTTAAATGCTAAAATGTGCGTATTAATATCAATGTTTACTCCTGGTGAGGTAGTTCCGTCTGAACTGAAAACAGTATTTCAGAATTAATTTTACAGCATACCGCTAATGAAATTTTAGTGCATACCGCCAACAACATGTCAAGATCCTACAATGTCATCAACATCTTTTCCGAGCTGTCGGATAAGGTACAGAACACAACTGATATATGTAGAAACATCCATGAAATAATCCTTCCAGGTTTGAAATTTTATTGTTTTAATTTACACAGCTTGCGTTACACATTTGGTTGTGTACATCTTCACACAGTAGGGTTGTTTTGATTCTTCCAGTTTCCTTACTATACTTGCCACAGATGTCAAAAAAAAAGAAAAAAAGGATGACCCGATTATCTATTCAAAGTAATCCTTTATCTTCTAACCTGTGATGTTATTGCCCATGTGTGTGTGTCTGTTTGCACTAGACCGGACTAATGCCGATTTTATAGTGCCCACTGATATACCATGCCGCGAGCCGACTAGTCTTTTTTTTATCCTCTTAACGCTGAGCGCCAGGCGGAGTAACAACAAGTAGCATCTTTAGCGTATTGTGGTATGATGCGGCCGGGAATCGAACCACGACTCCGCTCTCCAGGCAGCGCTCCATCCACTGGACCACGAATCCGCTCTCCAGGTAGCGCTCCATCCACTGGACCACAAATCCGCTGTCCAGGCAGCGCTCCATCCACTGGACCACGAATCCGCTCTCCAGGCAGCGCTCCATCCACTGGACCACGAATCCGCTCTCCAGGCAGCGCTCCATCCACTGGACCACGAATCCGCTCTCCAGGCAGCGCTCCATCCACTGGACCACGAATCCGCTCTCCAGGCAGCGCTCCATCCACTGGACCACGAATCCGCTCTCCAGGCAGCGCTCCATCCACTGGACCACGAATCCGCTCTCCAGGCAGCGCTCCATCCACTGGACCACGAATCCGCTCTCCAGGCAGCGCTCCATCCACTAGACCACGGATACGGCCCTGCAAGACATCGCCTACAGTTATACACTGCACTGAAGGTCACGCCGGCCAAGGTCACCTTGCAGGGAGATATCACTACAACATTCATGCAGCGGACTTTAATCTTTAACAGTAAGTGACCTCCTTCCGTATTACTAACGGAACGCTGTGATTACACCTCCATACAACAGAAGATTTGACGCCTACCCTAGAAGGTAACTTGTATTTGTCACCTATTGTCATATGTGTTTTAATGCTGTATTTGAATGTCCACCATGTTTAAATGCCGAGTCACTAATCACCGAGGCGACAGTGTGAGAAGCGACATGCGCGGACATGGGACCCCTGTCAGTGGAGCTATTGTTCAATTGCTGGGTGATCTGAGGTGGTGAATTAAATGATACAGTAAACTACGTTTATAACGAACAGGCTTATAACGAACTGATTGATATAACGAACATTTTTTTGTCCCGGTCATTCGCTGTATATATGCTTATAACGAACTACGGTTATGTCGAACTAATATCAGTGATCACTTTGAGTTCGTTATAACCGTAGTTTACTGTATTTACAATGATTTACGCCAGGCAGGGTAACAACAATCGCCATTTTTAACGTATTTCGGTATTTCAACAATGTTTGAAATCTGTGTAAAAGTGGTATAATTTTGACACGACGTTGCTTTTGAGTAATGTCGAAAGCGAAATATTATGTTAGGTCAACGTGACACGTGCTCTATAGCTAAGAAATGTGTCACAATAACCGAAAGCTTTCAAAGTCCACCGTAACTATCAGAAACTTGCTGAGCTTGATAAGTAATGCATACATTTATCTCACAGACAATCAGGGTGTATAAGCCTGTTATATGACTGAGGTCAGCTATGGTCTTATGGGTCGGTATCGTTGAACCCAAACACGGAGTGGGAATTGAAATTAGGTCAGGTCAAATGTTAGGTCAAAGGGCACGACAGAATATGCTGACAAGCAACATCATGAATCATGTTTTTACAAGGGATAAGGCATTGCTTAAATAGATATGTTTTTTTATTTATTTCCACAATGACATTCACATGCTAGTAGAATATACTTGTTGAAATTTGTTGAATTAAACACGAAGGAGAGATTATCGACATTTAGGTGAGGTGTAATTGGGTTTAACGTCGCGTCCAAAATTATTGCACTTACATAGCAACGCGCATGCACGTGTGTGTGTGTGGCTGCTAGTACTAGACCGGACTGATGCCGATTTATAGTGCTAGCTCACTGAGATACCATGCCGCAGTTTAACATGAATACCCCACTCAGACACAGTATACTGAAGCCGAGCCGACCAGTCCTTGTTTTCGCCCCTTAATGCCGAGCGCCAGACAGGGTAACAACAAGTACCATCTTTTAACGTCTTTTGGTATGACGCGGCCGGGGATTGAACCCCGGACCTTCCGCTCTCCGGGCGGACGCTCTACCACGGAGGCGGTCTGGATATTTAGGGTTGGGGCCTGGAATTAGTTTTAACAAACAATTTGTTCCCGAAAATACTAAAAACAATATTTTGCCGAAAAAACTTGTTCACACGATGTCCTGAAAACAACTGCTTTGCTAAAAAGAAGTCGGCTCCACATTTCGGACTCCAGAAATTGTCCTCTTGAAGCAAATAGGCCGTCTCTAACAGAAGACACCACCCCAAGGGGGATGCATGGTCGTTCCCTCTGCAGACTTCAGAAGTTATTTGTTTGTTTGTTTTTAAGTTGTTTGTTTACAAGAACATTAAATTGAATAAGGGTGAAAGCATGAGTATCACCCATGAAGATCGATATCCGGGTTAGAATTTGTTTTCAATAACCGACGCTTGTAAGAAGGGTGAATAACGGGATAGGGGGGTCAGGCTCGGTGACTCGGTTGAGTGCGTGTCATCGCAGCTAGGGGCGTGTTACGATGCTCACGACATAGATTACTGGGTTGTCGGGTCCAGACTCGACTATTTACAACCCGCCCTCGTGGTCTAGTGAATAGAACGTCTGTGAGTCGAGGCCCCGTCAGCGTCATTCCAAATGACGTTAAATGATGGTACTTGTTGTTACCCTGTGCTCGGGATAAGGTAAGCAATTGCATGGTACGAGTCAGGATTAACGCTGGTCTTAAAGTGCTTGACCACTGAGACACCATGCAACAGCTTAACATGGATACCTCATGGTCAGTCTGACACATTTTATTGACTCCGAGCCGACCAGTCCTGGTTTTATCCCATTAATGCTGAGCGCCAGGCAGGGTAACAACAAGTACCATAGTTTAGCGTCTTTTGGTATCTTTGTTTGTCCGTTTGTTGTTTAACGCCGCACCGAGCAATATTCCAGCTATATGACTGCGGTCTGTAAATACTCGAATCTGGACCAGACAATCCAATGATTAACATCATAAGCAGGAACCACGCAATTGGGATTCGAAGCAGGGTCGCCTTTTACGACAAGCATGTGTTGCTGAAGACCTATATTCTACCTCGGATCTTCATGGGTCTCTGTTGGTATGACGCAGCCGGGTTCGAACCTCTAACTTCTCTCTCTACGGGCAGATTCAAGAGGAGTCGACTGTTTAGGGAGTTGATAATTTTGTGTTTTGACATTTGCTTCGTTCACAGATGGCGCCCCCGGCAAAAGTATATCTGCAATATATCCCTGTGGCGGCCACAGCGGTGTTTACGGCGCTGGTATACTACTTCATCGACTACATTCTCTGGTGCATAGTGACAGGCTGCGTTCTCTACGCTGCGGGGGTGTATTTCCTCAAATCCGAGGCTCCAAGTCAAATCGATCCCACAGGAAAGGCCATTCTCATCACAGGCTGTGATGCAGGTCAGATTATATCATAATAATAATAATATATTCATGCACGGAAACCATCACACACATTTTGGGCATTGCGCGAATGTGATCTCCCACTGGTATAAACACGATATTTCGCAAAAAGTGCAGAATCTGCCGGGCAAAAGAAAGTCTACAATTCAAAAATTGGACTTGACCAAATAATTACAAACGCTATCAAAACGTTTATTTTGTGTTGTTACTTAACGCCGCACTAAACAATATTCCAGCTACATGACGGCGGTCTGTAAATAATCGAGTCTGGACCAGACAATCCAGTGATTGACATCATAGCTTCGATCCACGCAATTGGGTGGGTGAGTGAGTGAGTGAGTATGGTTTTACGCCGCTTTTAGCAATATTCCAGCAATATCACGGCGGGGGACACCAGAAATGGGCTTCACACTGTACCCATGTGGGGAATCGAACCCGGGTCGCATGACGAGCGAACGCTTTAACCACTAGGCTACCCAACCGCCCCTCACGCAATTCGGATACGATGACATGCCTCAACCATGCCAGCCAGTCCGCCCACTCGATCCCGCTAGTCGCCTCTTATGACAAGCACAGTCGCTTTTAACGGCAAGCATGGGTTGCTGAAGACCTATTCTAACCTGGATCTTCACGGGTCGCTATCAAAACGTCACTAGGCTGAAAATAAGTCGCCGGAGTACAAAAAAACAACTGTGCAACCCGTATCAAATACATCACCATCGAATAACCATGTGTTGTTGGTTTCATTTTAGCCACGATCAAACATGGCTGTACACTTTAATTTGCGAGGTAGTTTTTACAAATCTATATTTCTAAATGTATTGTTCCATCGCTGTACTTGTTTAAGAACAATAATCCAATAAACACAATCATTATTGCTTTGCAAAGAACTCTATACTATCTTAAAACAAAACATAACACGAATACCGTCCACCATCTCTAGTTCCACGAGGTATTAACAAAAAATGTTTACACTTTTGTATTATCCAACGCATCGTAGGATACTGAATGAATGAATGAATGAGTATGGTTTTACGCCGCTTTTAGCAATATATCAGCAATATCACGGCGGGGGACACCAGAAATGGGCTTCACACATTGTACCCATGTCGGGAATCGAACCCGGGTCATCGGCGTGACGAGCGAACGCTTTAACCACTAGGCTACCCGACTGCCCCCGTAGGATACTGAAATAAATACGTGTCAAGCTGTCGTTCAAACTATATGTACATATCAATGCCAGATCGATAACCTCACTGATATGCATTACGTGTCCATGATATTTACTCAAGGGTTTTTTACAATATCATTTTAGTAGATGTTGTTTGATATTTTAGGTTGTCCGGATTAACTAATGTCCGAATAAACTAGTGTCCGTCTTCGTATACTAATAATATAAATTCCCAGCTGTTACATCTGTATAGGGGCAGACAATCCACTTTGCAGAGTTGCGTCCCCTGATGAAGGGTTCGACTCCAAGATTACCTGATTGTTTCTAGGTTTGTCAGCACCAAGGTGATAAGCGCCCGCATCACTTCGACCTTTCCTCCATCATCAAGTTGACTCCCAGTGATATGACTGTAATACTGTTCAAAGCAGCGTTAGACCTAACTCATCCTGGTACTGATTTCAGAATGAGCAACACATTGTTTTTGTTTTCTTAGATCAGTATCTACTGCTGTTTATGATAGGTACGAAAGCCTATTGGGGTCAAAATTGAAATATGGAAAAGGCACGAAAAGAAATTCGTTATAACGGAAAAAAGATTCGTTATTACGAAAATAAATTCGGAATTACGAAAAAAAGATTCGTTATTACAAAATAAATTCGTTATTACGAAACAAAGTTCCTTCATTGCGAAAATAAATTCGTTATAACGGAAAAAAAGATTCGTTATAACGGAAATAATTTCGTTATTACGGAATACGGAAAAAGATTCGTTATTTCGTAAAAAAATATTCGATATAACGAAATAAGTTCCGTAATAACGAATCTTATTCCGTTATAACGAATTTATTTTCGTAATAACGAATCTTTTTTCCGTTATAACGAATTTCTTTTCGTGTCTTTTCCATATTTCACTTTTGTCCCCATTTGGCTTTCGTAGATAGGCAACGTTGCAGCCGTTTCGTGGTAAAAGTCTAAGTTCTGCATCACTTCATCGCTTTCTCCCGAACTGACACGCTGACAAATACTGTTCAAAGAGGCATAAAAAGCCAATTCATCCTGCAATCCCTTTACTGGTAATGTTGTCTTGTTTTGTCCTGAGAGGGCTGGGAAATGAGCTGGCGACCCGAGCACACAAACTCGGCTTCACGGTGTTTGCCGGCTGCCTGAACGACAACACAGAGGGGTCCCGGGCCCTACAGGCCACCTTTGAGGAGAGGATGCACGTCCTGAAGATGGACGTCACAAAGGATGGTGAGGTGACGGAGGCACTCAAGTATGTCCAGGAGCGATGCAGAAGCACAGGTGGGAATACTGCTGTTGTGTTTGTTTGTTTGTTTGTTGTCGATGCCCCGTCAGCATCATTCCAAATAACGTTAAATGATGGTACTTGTTGTTACCCTGTGCTCAGTCTGGATTAACGCTGGTCTTATAGTGCTTGACCACTGAGATGCCACGCCACAGTTTAACATGGGTACCTCATGATCACTCTGACACAGTATACTGACTCCGAGCCAACCAGTCCTGGTTATATCCCCTTAATGCTGAGCGCCAGGCAGGGTAACAACAAGTACCATAGTTTAGCGTCTTTTGGTATCTTTGTTTGTTCGCTTGTTGTTTAACGCCGCACTCGGCAATATTCCAGCTATATGACGGCGGTCTGTAAATAACTGAGTCTGGACCTGACAGTCCAGGGATTGACAACATGAGCCTGACCACTCGATCCCGTTAGCCGCCTCTTACGACAAGCATAGTCGCCGTTTACGGCAAGCATGGGTTGCTGAAAACCTATTGTACCCCGGATCTCCAGGCCACTTGCTGTTGTGCCTTTTGTTTGCAGGGACTGACGCGCTACCTACTGCGCTAACGAGGCCGCTTGTTCTACTGATCAAAATAAAGAATCTCTCGAACGCGAATGAGACGCGAAGATCATGGCAACAGCAATGTATCAGCTATGAGCGAGCGTCCCACGATCGCGACAGTAACGCGAAATCTTCGCGTCCTATGCGCAAGCGAGAGATTTTCATTTTGCTTATTATTTTTATTATGATATATTATTATAATAAGTTGTGCACATTAGTAGATAGTTGCAGAAAATATTACCTTTGCAACTATTTTTGTTATGAGTTTAGTGTGTGAATAAACAGCACTATACGCTGTGAGAATGACATCAGAATACACCATTTCTGAAACGCGCAATGAATATTCAAAAACGATTATAACGATATCACGAGGAGAACGCGTGCTCTAACAACAAATATGGCCCCCGGTTGTCATGGGCTCCATTGAATGAACAGTTACACCTAAGACGTGGGGTCCAATAACAAAAATGGCCCCCGGTTGTCATGGGCTCCATTGAATGAACAGTTACACCTTAGACGTGGGGTCCAATAACAAAAGTGGCCCCCGGTTGTCATGGGCTCCATTGAATGAACAGTTACACCTTAGACGTGGGGTCCAAAAACAAAAATGACCCCGATTGTCATGGGCTCCATTGAATGAACAGTTACACCTTAGACGTGGGGTCCAATAACAAAAATGACCCCGATTGTCATGGGCTCCATTGAATGAACAGTTACACCTTAGACGTGGGGTCCAATAACAAAAATGGTCCCCGATTGTCATGGGCTCCATTGAATGAACAGTTACACCTTAGACGTGGGGTCCAATAACAAAAATGGTCCCCGGTTGTCATGGGCTCCATTGAATGAACAGTTACACCTTAGACGTGGGGTCCAATAACAAAGATGGCCCCCGATTGGCATGGGCTCCATTGAATGAACAGTTACACCTTAGACGTGGGGTCCAATAACAAAGATGGCCCCCGATTGGCATGGGCTCCATTGAATGAACAGTTACACCTTAGACGTGGGTCCAATAACAAGACCCGTGAAGATTCCGGTCTTCAGCAACCCATACTTGCCGTAAAAGGCGACTATGCTTGTCGTCAAAGGCGACTAACGGGATCGGGTGGTTAGGCTCGCTGACTTGGTTGATGCATGTCATCGATCCCAATTTGGTGGATCGATGCTCATGATGTCAATCACTGGATTGTCTGGTCCAGACTCGATTATTTACAGATCGCCGTCATATAGCTGCAATATTGCTGAGTGCGGCGTTAAACAACAAACAAACGAACAAATCCAATAACAAAGATGGCCCCCGATTGAGAAAACGTCAGGTAAATACGAGAAAAGAAAAAAAGTATTTGACATGTCCGACATTAACCAGAAATCACCGATTCCCGATTTCTAAACATATTAGCAGCCTTTGGCCTTGGAATGTCATAGGCTACATTGAACGTTCAGTTGCACCTTAGAAGTGGTGTACAAATAGATCTACCGTCTGTGTTGCAGGTTTGTGGGCTGTTGTGAACAATGCCGGCATTGACGGCGGGGGTCCGGTCGAGCTGTGCAGCATGAAGTTCTACAAGGATGTGTGCGAGGTCAACCTGTTCGGGGCTATCAGAGTGTCTAAAGCGTTCCTGCCGCTAGTGAGGCAGGCTAAAGGTGAGGAAAACAATAGCTACAGCGTGGTCAGACTCCCTGACCCCACGGCGGAGAAGATGCTAATTCTAATGACCGCCGGGATGAACCGGTCGCCGCAATCTCATTTAAATCAGATCTTAGTTCTCGCTGCCGCTAAGCAAAGATCTGAGGACATCCCATTACGGGTCACGTAAGACTGACCTTTGGCAAACTCTAACCGACCAATGGAATTACTGACAAGAAGTCGACATTAGCCAATCAGAAGGCAGCTTTCTCGTGCTTTACGGCACTAATTTCAAATTGGCGACTACGCTTCGAAACATATGTTGACAAATTATCGCTTAAAGATTTGAAACCTGAACAAAAGAACGTTCTAGAATGGCTAATATTTGGTCTAGATTGTATAGATCCAGTCGTTAAGCCCGTCACTATCGTTCAGAATACACCGTTTTAACGTTTTCGAGGCTGCATGATTAGAAATCACATTCCCAGTGTCACTTTCATGATCTGGTAAGCCACGCTCTGATTGGTCGAATGAAAGGTCGTTCTGACGTGACCCCTAAAAGGATGTCCTCAGATCTTTGTTTAGCGGTAGCGAGAACTAAGATCTGATGTTAATGAGATTGCGGTCACCGTTATCTGGTTGGACTGCTGAATGGGGCGTAAAATAAATCGAACGCTTACTTTCTTATCACTCCCTCCATCCCTCCGGTCTGTCGTTCTTCCGTCACTCACTCACTTATTCAACCCTTATAATTCCGGGAAAGTATATAGTCCCTACAACGCTAGGCTTGTTATCAGAGGCGGCAATGTGGATCGGGTGGTCCGGCTCGGACTGGTTGACCGATGTCCTTGTATCCCTTGTGAAGCAATGCTCATGATGTCAAACAGCCCGTGAAGATCCGGGGTAGAATAGGTCTTCAACAACCCATGCTTGCCGTAAAAGGTGACTATGCTTGTCGTAAGAGGCGACTAACGGGATCGGATGGTCGCTGACTTGGTTGATGCATGTCATTGATCCCAATGGCGTGGATCGATGCTCATGACATTAATCACTGGATTGTCTGGTCCAGACTCGATTATGTACAGACCGCCGTCATATAGCTGGAATATTGCTGAGTGCGGCGTTAAACAACAAACAAACAAACAAAAACATGATGTCAAACACTGGATTGTCTGGCCTAGACTCAATTCTTCACAGGCGGCCGTCACATAGTTGTAATATTGCTGAGTGCGGCGTTAAACAACATCTGCCATCAAAGCTTTATTTTTATTGTTTGTTATGTATGAAACATTAAACTGTTGAAACCGAGAAATAAGTTCTTCTTTGGTTTACATTTAATCAAATTGCATTTTTGCAGTGTACTGACGTTGATAGATTGCACTGTTTCAGGCCGGGTAATTAACGTGTCCAGTGAAAGAGGCCGTCTGGCAAGGGGAGGTAACTCGACGTACTGCATTTCCAAGTACGGTTTAGAAGCCTTCTCCGATGCTTTACGACACGAGATGAGGAGGTTTGGGGTCCAGGTCAGTCTGACTGAACCGGGTCATTTCGGAGGAGCAACAGCCATTCTTCTGGAACACAACGTAAGTTCTTTCCAAAAACCTAAGCGATGCATGTTTTCGTTTCGAAACGTGTCACATAAATCTCACACGATTAACTTCCAAACATTTCGCCCATCAATTAAATATAGAATACTAAACGAGATCCCGTGCAATACCAATTTTATGAAACGAATGAATAGTGAACTATTCACGAGTTTCATAAAATTGGTTTTACACGGAAGCGACTTTAGTATTTTATCTATTACGTTTTTAGAATTATACTGTTGAGTATGAATAGGCTGACACCTACACAATCCACAGCAAAGTCCAATTGAGTTAGAATTATACTTCAAACACGTCACAAGGTGAAACGTATGAATTTAATACCATACAACGGTCCATCTTTACAATTCACAAAATTATCGTAGGGCTAAGACTATCGCAACTCACATACTTTAACTTAGACTAACGACTGTCGTTTCGCTACAATACGATCGCTTGTGCACCTCAAAGTTAACGGTAACGTCACAATACCTGATGACCTAATTTGTGGAATTTTGTTGCAAGATCCATCGGCGAAACAATGCCATGTGACGTCAGCCTAGCAACAAGGTTGCTGGGGTCGTCGAGTGTGCATAAGGTCTTCTCAGTGATCTATCAACTCCACACGCAATGTCGTTGATAAAGCCAAGGAATGTTGAGAGCTTTCAATATTTGTTCGTGAAACGTGTTCCGAGAGTACATGAGCACGCGTTTTGGTATTAAAACAATGTGTAATACAGCTGTATGTTTATTAAACGGGTGATCTCTTCACGGGCAAGTAATAAAAGGCAGTCGTTGCTGGTTGTGAGAAGCGACTAATTGATCAGGTGGCCAGGAGTGAGTGAGTATGGTTTTACGCCGCTTTTAGCAATATTCCAGCAATATCACGGCGGGGGACACCAGAAATGGGCTTCACACATTGTACCAATGTCGGGAATCGAACCCGGGTCTTCTGCGTGACGAGCGAACGCTTTAACCACTAGGCTACCCGACCGCCCCCAGGTGGCCAGGAACGCTGGAGGTCGATGACGTGACATCGTACCCTGACGTCGTGGCTCGTTGCACGTAGACCGGTTGTGTCTGGTTGCAATTTTTGGAACGGTCTTGTGCCGGTTTAGCCTGTGTATCGTTTGAAATCTTGGAAACTCAAAAAGCAGTGATGCCAGACTTGAAAATGTCAGGCAACATATCTTTTGGGGGCGTCTTTTGGGGTAACTTTGCTAATTTTGAAAGACCCTGCAACAACATGGAAATAGATAAATATTCACTGTGAATAGATTTTGTATTTCGTGAATGTTCACAGCGATCGGACGGGTTCGATTCCCGACATGGGTACAATGTGTGAAGTCCATTTCTGGTGTCCCCCGCCGTGATAATGCTGAAATAGTGCCAACAGCGACGTTAAACCATACTCACTCACTCACAGCGATCGGATTTGTAGCTAATCTTGTCTGAGATTCAAGGTTTTATCTCGCATCATTCTTAACTGCTTAGTAAATTAAACGCACATTTTGGTATCATCTGGAGAGGTAAATGAAGTATAGCATCGCGTCCAAGATTATTGCACTTATATAGCCACGTGGATGCACATGTGTGTGTGTGGCTGCGTGTACTAGACCCGAGAAATATCTGAGGACATCTCATTACATGGCACGACCTTTTGCTACCTTTGAGTGAGTGAGTGAGTTGGGTTTAACGCCGCTTTTAACAGTATTCCAGTTATATCGCGGCGAGTCAGCTTTATGTGGGAGGAAAGCCCCAAGTGATGCAGGTCTCAGACGTTTACCACTTCGGTTAAACCCACGAGAACGGGTATGGTGCTGACAAACCTAGAAACATAATCAGGGCGAACCGGGATTGGAACCCACAGTCATAGGTTTCTGGCGTGCCCAAGGGACGCAACTCTGCACAGCGAATCGCGGCGCCTTAGCCGACTGGGCCACCCGTGCCCCCTCGCGAACTTTGACCTACCATTGAAATGACTTTAGCTGGTCAGAAAGTAGCTTCATCGCGCTTTACTGCACTCAAATAGGAACTTTGAAAAATATCGATTCATTCTTTGAAACCTGAACAAAAGAAAATGTTTGAATGTATGATAAATTGTAAGACAGTACTTCCCATGGGATATCGGGGGTATCTTCTATTTCAAATGTCCTTCTGAAGAGCGATAGACGACTATTTTGACGAACTCAGTCGTAACGACCCGTGCTGACCTTTTCGAGGTTGCATGATTTTAAAACACATTCCGACTGTCATTCTCCCGTTCTGGATTTTCTTTATTTCTGTCATGCAGGTTGAAATGTTTAGAAAGAGACTATTTGATGGATTCAACTCAGCCAGTGATGACGTCAGGAAGGTTTACCCACAGGAAGTGGCAGAACAGGCTGTCAAGGACAAATACATCTCTTCGAAGCACTCACCTAAGTCATGTGACATCGTCCTTGACGTCATGGAACGTCAGCTGATAGAAGTCAAGGTCAGCCCGAGATATCTAATCGGGGGAACGAATTCAGTGGTTGACCTCCGTGTGGTAGGTGTGAGCGTCTCAGCGATTTGCCGGTCCCATTGTAATTATTCATTTATAATCTACGCGTTTAATGGCAAAATATAAAGATTACATATTTTCGAATTTTCTTGTGTTGTCGGTGATCGGTGAAATACTAACTATATGAAACCTCCGGCTACTGTCGTCGTTCCTAAATGAACGTTTATCGAAATTGTCGAAATGAAACATTATCGACAATTTTCGCCATACGAGTACTTCACGCATGTATACTATGAAGTCACGATACGACGTCACATGGTCCATAGCAAATGAGACCCGTGAAGATTCCGGGGAGAATAGGTCTTCAGCAACCCATGCTTGCCGTAAAGGGCGACTATATCGGGAGGTCAGGCTCGATGACTTGGTTGATACATGTCATCGATCCCAATTGCGTGGATCGATGTTCATGAGGTCAATGACTGGATTGTCTGGTCCAGACTCGATTATTTACAGACCGCAGTCATATAGCTGGAATATTGCTGAGTGCGGCGTTAAACAACAAACCAACCATAGCAAATGCACACGTTGGTTAACGGATGCAAAGAATGTTCCATTAATGGCGAAAAATAATGAACTTTAGAATAAACTAAATACCTCATTCTTGCCGCCATCTCGAATGCCACTGCTCTTCAAAGCGGGTATATGTGAATTTGAAATAAGGAACTCTAAATGAAAAATTAGTTGTTTGAGTTGTACATGTAGATATGTTCTACCGTTAATGGTAGGCACTAGGATTGATGGAATTCTGAAACCACGTTATTTGACATTGAGACCAACATTCCCCGTTGCCAACAAATCTTCTTAACATGTATATTTCATTGAGAATACAAGAAGGGCTGTCACCCCGGTTCTGACAGGTTAGATATGTATGTACAACTAATGTCTCCCCTTCCATAGTTTTATTACTTATTCAGTTCTACCTTTTTTCAGGTTTACATATTTCTGAAATCGTTTCTGCCGGACCAGGTGATGGATTACCTGCTGGAGAAAATACCAGTTTGAGATTTGGAAAAGCGTCGTTTATTCGTTCTATTTAGCACTGAATGCATGTGTTGTTTTGTTTGTTTATTTGTTGTTTAACGCCGCACTCAGCAATATTCCAGCTATATGACCGTTGTATGTAAATAAGCGAGTCTGGACCAGACAATCCAGTGATTGACATCATAAGCATCGATCCATGCCACTGGGATACGATGACATGCATTAACGAAGACTGCGAGCATGACCACCCGATCCCGTTAGTCTCTTCTTACGACAAGCATAGTCGCCTTTAAGGAAGTGAGGCAACGTTACTGTTACATTGTTCTAAAGAAAGACACTTGTATTTGAAAATAGTTATCCAAATTATAGCTATTTTTTAAGAGTAAGCTTAGTCAAATTATGTTTACAAATAATAGTTGGTCACACATCAAATTGATACATCCCTCATATATATGTTAAGAGTTAGTGAGTAAGTTTGATTTTACGCCGCTTTTAGCAATATTCCAACAATATCACGGCGGGGAACACCAGAAATGGGCTTCACACATTGTACCCATGTAGGGAATCGAACCCGGGTCTTCGGCGTGACGAGCGAACGCTTTAACCACTAGGCTACCCGACCGACCAGTATGTGTTATGATAGTTCAATTACCAAGTTCAATCAAATACGGGGCGGTGGGGTAGCCTAGTGGTTAAAGCGTTCGGTCCTTACGCCGAAGGCCAGGGTTTGATTCCCCACATGGGTACAAGCCCATTTCTGGTGTCCCCCGCCGTGATGTTGCTGGAACGTTGCTAAAAGCGGCGTAAAACCATACTCGCTCGTTCAATCATATACATGATGCATGCAAGTATATTCCAAAGACGTTTATAACTTACCCAAAGATTAATTTGTTTTGCATACTCATGTCAACTTCAAATATTACTATTAGAAAATATTGCATTGTACATACATCATGCATTGTTAGTTAGAAGAAACACCCATACCTTGTAGATACGTTGAACTCCGGGCCTATGGCCTTTCAGTTTGCAATGAATAAAACAATTTGGCATTCAGGGGACATGCGTCATTAAGGGAGCAGATGTTTAATGTCGAAAAAACCTTCATAAGCTTTGAGCAGTTATTTATTGACTTGAACTTTAAACATGAGGATTGATTTCATTACAGTTAAAACTAAAACATTCTCATCCTCATTCAAAGCTTTAGGAACAAGATCTCTATCCAACTTTTTTACTGCTCTCTTTAATTTTATTGACAAAAATATTGTGTGTGTAGTCATTTTTTATGATCAGTTTTACAGAAACCCATATGTTTTTGTATTTCTGACATGCGCATTTGTCACTATTGCAATATGGTAATTTAAAATTTTAATTCTCATATGTCAATTCTATAAACATCAGATGCTGTCAGTGATGTTGCAGTAATCATATCTCTGTCAGAACTGAGTTATGAGAATACATCTGCATTTCTACAGAGGCAAAACATGAACGCTTGATTAATCTATAGAGGGAGTGTATTACATATATCATATATCATATATATGTGATGATTGTGTTGTGAAGGTATTGGTAGTGAGTCATACTTCACACAAAGACTTCACGAAGCTTCAGTGTCGAAACATAATTATACTTGGCATTGTACCATGACAGTCTAATGAAATGAACTGTACGTTTACCATGGTATTCGTTTGTATAATATATATATTTCATATTTCTCTTGAAATAAATGTATAGAACCTGTTTGGTTCGAATACCACTTGACGTTTTGTTGTCATGGACTCTTTACATACATAGTACATTTGTACGAAGCATTTAATTTTACGCGTTACGTGGAAATAATCGAGTTTCTCTTTGTACAATAAATTACTACACACCCATGGCTTGTTTTTCAGTAAAGGATAGGAGCAAGGATTATTAAACAAGAACAAATAACGAATTACATAGAAAATCTCACCCTCGTGTCTTTTGATATCAAATATAAACACAAGTTGATAAAAGTTGAAAAAGGTTTTTCCACTTTTATCAATGCGTGTTGATATATTTGATATCAAAAGACACGAGGGGGGAAATTTTGTTTATCATCCAACATCATTCTTCCAACTTTTTCAGTTTGTAGACAGTAATAAACAGTGTCTAAAGTGTAGAACGTACTGCTAACAGCTTCGACAGCGGAGCCATTCGAGATGTCATTTGATTGTGACGCCATGGTAACCAATGACGTCACAATGGTCTGCAAAGCATTGTGATGCAATTTCCTTGCAGCGATATCTACAATGTAGATATAGAGATTACTACATGTCTGACAGATACCATTTATCTTACAACGAGTTGTTTCAAAACGTATCTAACGAGCATGATGCCGGGTTAAAAAAATTCACCTCAAAGAAATTACCAAATATGTACAACAGTGTTTATTTCAATATTCCAGCTTAATTTATGACGGCGGTCTGTAAATTTTCGAGTCTGGACCAGACAATCCAGTAATTGACAACACGAGCATCGATCCACGCAATTGGGATCGATGACATGCATCAACCAAATCAGCGAGCATGACCACCCGATCCCGTTAGTCGCATCTTACGACAAGCATAGTCTGACAAATGGGATGTCTGACAAGTGGGATGTCTGTCAAATTGGGTGTCTGACAAATAGGATGTCTGACAAATGGGATGTCTGACAAATTGGTTGTCTGACAAATGAGGTGTCTGACATGGTTGTCTGACAAATGGGATGTCTGACAAATGGGATGTCTGACAAATTGGGTGTCTGACAAATGGGATGTCTGACAAATGGGGTGTCTGACAAATGGGATGTCTGACAAATAGGATGTCTGACAAATGGGATGTCTGACAAACGGGTGTCTGACAAATGGGTTGTCTAACAAATTGGGTGTCCGACAAATGGGATGTCTGACAAACTGGATGTATGACAAATGGGTTGTCTAACAAATTGGGTGTCTGACAAATGGGGTGTCTGACAAACTGGGTGTCCGACAAGCGGGATGTCTGTCAAATAGGGTGTCTGACAAATAGGATGTCTGACAAATGGGATGTCTGACAAATTGGGTGTCTGACAAATGGGGTGTCTGACATGGTTGTCTGACAAATGGGATGTCTGACAAATGGGATGTCTGACAAATTGGGTGTCTGACAAATGGGATGTCTGACAAATTGGGTGTCTGACAAATGGGATGTCTGACAAATGGGATGTCTGACAAATAGGATGTCTGACAAATGGGATGTCTGACAAACGGGTGTCTGACAAATGGGTTGTCTAACAAATAGGAATGTCTGACAAACGGGTGTCTGACAAATGGGGTGTCTGACAAATAGGAATGTCTGACAAACGGGAGTTGTCCAAGACTAAAAGGAGCGGCGGATATATCAGTCTGGTCGGAGTAAGGAAGTTCATGTTGTTATCACTGTGTGACCATCCTGATTAGGATGTCTCTCCATATGTGAGGTCCACCCAAGTACACACACCAACTGTGATAACATCGCTGACACCCAAGTACACACATCAACTGTGATAACATCATTGACACAGGGGTATTTATCAACCCACTGTATGCTAGAACATATATACAGTAAACTACGGTTATAACGAACACGCTTATAACGAACTGACCTATATAACGAACTTATTTTTTTAGTCCCGGCCATTTGATGTATATATGCTGTATATATGCTTATAACGAACTACGGCTATAACGAACCAAAATTAGTGGTCCCTTTGAGTTCGTTATAACAGTAGTTTACTGTATGTATATTTGTAAAAGACAAGAGACGCAATGCAAGTTGAACAAAAATCAAAAACCCTCTTTTTACGGACGACATTGTCACAGCAGGATTGTTTCACAAAATTGTGTTTATTTATCAAACATTTCCTGTAATCCATTCACAGTGCAACACGCTTTATTTAAATTTTAGGCTGATTGAAGTAGAGTAGAGAATTGTCGTGGACCGCCATGTGTTGACGGCGTGATAATCTAATAAAACTTCGGATTAAGGCCATAAAACAAAGTATAAATTAGTTTGATTATTCTTGAATTATTCACAATTTATCCACGGATTATTCGCGAAGTACTGCAGAACACGACGCTAAACTTGCGTTTATGTGTTTATTGGTTAACGTCGCAATATTCCACCTATATGACGGCGATCTGTAAATAAGAGCAATCCAGACAATCCAGTGATCGACGTCATGAGCATCGATCGCCGAAATGGGGATACGATGACATGCATCAACCAAGTCAGCGATCTTGATCACCCGATCCCGTCAGTCGCCTCTTACGACAAGCATAGTCGCCTCTTACGACAATCTTACGGCAAGCATAGTTGCCTCTTACGACAATCTTACGGCAAGCATAGTCGCCTCCTACGACAATCTTACGGCAAGCATAGTTGCCTCTTACGACAATCTTACGGCAAGCATAGTCGCCTCTTACGACAATCTTACGGCAAGCATAGTCGCCTCCTACGACAATCTTACGGCAAGCATAGTTGCCTCTTACGACAATCTTACGGCAAGCATAGTCGCCTCTTACGACAATCTTACGGCAAGCATAGTCGCCTCTTACGACAATCTTACGGCAAGCATAGTTGCCTCTTACGACAATCTTACGGCAAGCATAGTCGCCTCTTACGACAATCTTACGGCAAGCATAGTTGCCTCTTACGACAAGCATGGGTTGCTGAAGCCGGATATTCACGGGGCTCAAAATTGCGTTGTTTTGAAGAAAGTATCACAGGATGTACGTGCACGTGATTTGAGTCAGTTGCAGCACCAAGTTGGTTGGTTGGTTGGTTGGTTGTTTAACGCCGCACTCAGCAATATTCCATCTATATGACGGCGGTCTGTAAATAATCGAGTCTGGACCAGACAAGCCAGTGATTAATATCATGAGCATCGATCCACGTAATTGGGATCGATGACATGCATCAACCAAGTCAGCGAGCCTGACCAGATACAATAAAATATAAATGTATTTTCTGTTCTATGTGTATGCACCCTCGTTGCAGTAAAATGCCTTGATCAACATGCCTACTGTCTAACAAACAAGCTCACTCATCCCTGACAATATATCGGTTGTATAATTGCTGCTGTTGACCTGTTTTTAAAAAAATAGACGAAGCAGGTTTCCACCTCCAGTCCGCGCTTAGTGTCAGTGTGTTTGTGATTGAAGTAAGATTTTAGCATTTTGATCAAACGCCGCGCTCAGCAATTTTCCAGCTATATGACGGTGTCCTCTAAAAATAATGGATTCTGGGCCAGACAGTCCAGTGATTGTCATCATGAGCATCGATCTATGCAATTGGGATGCCATGACATGCATCAACTTGATCCCGTCTGTCGCCTCTTCCGACAAGCCCGGGTTGCTGAAAACCTATTCCAACCCGGATCGTCACAACGGTGTAGTGAGTGAGTGAGTTGGGTTTAACGCCGCTTTGAACAGTATTCCAGTTATACCCCGGTGTGCCAGCTTAATGTGGGAAGAAAGCCCGAAGTGATGAAGATCACAGACGTTTACCACTTCGGTGAAACCCACGAGCACGGGTATGGTGCTGGCAAACCTAGAAATATAATCGGGGCGAACCGGGATTCGAACCCACAATCATAGGTTTCTGGCGTGCCCAAGGGACGCAACTCTCCACAGCGAATCGCGGCGCCTTAGATGACTGGGCCACCCGTGTCCCCGCACAAGTTAAAAGTGGGCGAGTGAGTGAGTGAGTGAGTGAGTGAGTGAGTGAGTGAGTGAGTGAGTGAGTGGGCATCCTACTGTTTTGTACAGTTTTTTTATGTAATTGTTAGAGCAATGTCTCCTGTCACACATCCGCAGGTCCACAACAATTTCGAGAAACCAACGAGCTGTTATGAAGCGGAAAACAGATGAATAAGAGATAGTGAGTGAGTGAGTGAGTGAGTGAGAGTAAGGTGGGGTTAACGCCGTTTGAAATCTATTCCGATATGTCAAGGGGTGTCAGCATTATATGACAGGAAAGCCCGAAACGACGCAAGTCTTAGACGTATGGATGAAACCCCCGAGCGCGGGTTAAGGCAAACGTGGAAACATAACACGGGAAAACACGGATTCGAATCCATGAACATATATTCCTGTCGTCCCCAAGGGAAGCAACTCTCCTCAGCCAATTGCAGCATCCACACCAGTGGACAAAACTTCATCGATCGCCACCTGTTTCGTTATATCTTGTTTATTAACATTGATAAAAATTAATTACATTTCCAGAAAGTTGACACTAGATCATTGTGACGTTACAACTTTCACTTTCATTGTGACGTCATAATATTCACGTCATAACATTTGTGTACATTGATTCCGGATATCGTCATCAATGTCGCTTTTTCTTTCGGATTATCCAGGTTATGCCTTACACAATGTAATATGTTGTTTAATCAAATGAAAGGATCCGCTGATGACTGATTCGAATCCAAGAGAACAGGTGAAAATTCGTGTAAGAATAGGTCTTCAGCAACCCATGTTTGCCGTAAAAGGAGACTCACAACAATATTTAATATATCGCTCTCTCTCATAAACTATTGTTTGTACGTTGTTTATCACGACACATAGCAATATTCCAGCTATATGACGGCGGTCTGTAAATAATCGCCTTTTCGGGGTTTATAGGTCTTCAGCAACCCATGCTTGCCTTAAAAGGAGACTTTGCTTGTCGTAAGAGGCGACTAAGGGGATCGGGTGGTCAGGCTCGCTTACTTGGTTGATGCATGTCATCGTATGCCAATTGTGTGGATCGATGCTCATGATGTCAATCACTGGATTGTCTGGTCCAGACTCGATTATTTACAGACTGCTGTCATATAGCTGGAATATTGCTGAGTGTGGCGTCACACAAACAAACAAAGGAAATCCATCATTGACATGGTGCACCAGGACTTCGTTATTTTACATAGAAACAACAGCTGTGCTAAGCCAATAGATTGGGGTGAGTTTTTAATCCAATAAATGTGTTATTGGAAATATAATTTGGTTTGTCATACTGGTTGTTGATACAATTCAACGTGTTTCATTTGTTTGTAAACAATGATCGTGTTTATCTAATTCTTCATTTGGTAAGCACATTTTTCTGCGTATTCATTGACAACACATGGAGGTGAATCCTTTATTGCACAAGCTGATATATGAAAGTCGGTTATGATATGAATATGTTTTTGGGGGGCTTTCTCAAAACTAATGCACATTGAATACTTCTCGAGGAAATTACATCTGATTCATTTTACCGTTTACATAATTATATGTACAAATATTCTGCCTGACGCTCGACATTAATGGGCTAAAACAAGGACTGATCGGCTCAGAGTCTGCATATTGTGTCTGAGTGGGTTATCCTTTTTAAACTGCATATCTCAGTGGGTTTCACGAGTGGCCAAGTCGTCTGAGGCGCCGCGATTCGCTGTGCAGAGTTGCGTCTCTTGGGCACGCCAGAAACCTATGATTGTTGGTTCGAATTCCGGTTCGCCCCGATTATGTTTCTAGGTTTGTCAGCACCATACCCGTGCTTGTGGCTTTCACCCAAGTGGTAAACGTCTGACACCTGCATCACTTCGGGCCTTCCTCCCACATTAAGCTAACTCGCCGAGATGTAACTGGAATACTCTTAAAAGCGGCGTTAAACCCAACTCACTCACTTACTCTACATGCGGGATCAGTCCGGATGAGTACAAATAGCCAGACACACACGTGCATGCACGTCGTGATGTAAATGCAATAATCCTGAACGCGACTTTAAACTCCATTTCACCTGACCTCTTAAAAAATAAAGCCACCAAGCGTCTAATTTAACCAAAAAATTGACCTTCGAGACCCGTAAAAAAACCGGGTTGAGATTCCGCAAGCCATGCTTGCCATGAGAGGCGACTAACGGGATCGGGTGGTCATGCTTGCTGTCATCGTATCCCAAATGCGTGGATCGATGCTCATGACATCAATCACTGGATTGTCTGGTCCAGACTCGATTATTTACAGGCCGCCGTCATTTAGCTGGAATATTGCTGAGTGCAGCGTTAAACAACAAACCTAAAATGGTATGAAATGCCGACAGAGTTTTTGAGACACCCCCGACCAAGTGTCTTGGTTTAAAAGCATTTGATCGCTAGTTCTGTCAATGTTTCCCAGAGGCAACCAACGATGTTGCAGCTGTGTGTGTATCTGTTTGCTGTGCTCCTGACTGAATCAGCCGCTTACAAATGTTGCCCTCCTCAGAGATGGAAAGCCAAAACGTTCTTCACCAGTCTAGAACTAAACAACAACTGGCCAAACTTTCTTTGGGTAAGATTGTATTTATCATCCTAAACTGGCTGCTACAGGAGATATCGCTTGTGCGAGATCAAGCGATATCTTCTACATTGTAGATATCGCTGCAATTTAATTGCATGACAATGCTTTTCAGACCATTGTGACGTCATTGTTACCATGACGTCATAATTAAATGACATCACTAATGGCTCTGCTACTGAAGCTGTTAGCAGTACTTTTTACACTTAGACACTGCTTATTACTGTATACAAACTGAAAAACACTCGTTGATAAAAGTGGAAAAACTCCTCGGCAGGTCTCGGAGTTTTTCCATTTTTTTCAAAGAGTGTTGTTATATTTGATATCAAAAGACACGAGGGTGAGATTCTGTTTATATTTTATAACTGTTGGGCGGTTGGGTAAAGCATTCGCTCGTCACGCCTAAGATCCGTGTTCGATTCCCAACGATGTTTCCGGAATATTACAAAATGAGGACTAAGACCAGGGAATGTTGATACTTTCTCTCTCATTTTCTTTACAGCAAAATGGAGAATTCTACCAAGACGCTACCAATGAGAGAAGTGTTGAGGTTTTCGAAAACCGATACCATGGAACTGTAAAACATTTGAAAATCATCTCAGATTATAAGACTGTAAGTAATATAAGGTCTTAGAACCGAGGTTCCAACCCACGACCATAGGTTCATGGCGTGCCCAAGGGACGCAACTCTGCACAGCTTATTGCGGCGCCTTGGAGGACAGTGCCACCACTGTAACTGGAACGTCATTAACAAAGATGATTTGACGTCATGGTCGGGATGGTCTTTGTTCAATTTATATAAATAGGCAACAAATCCATTGGAGTGTGAGCGTTAGTATGACCCCTAAAGTATGGGGGCGGTCGGGTAGCCTAGTGGTTAAAGCGTTCGCTCGTCACGCCGAAGACCCGGGTTCGATTCTCGACATGGGTACAATGTATGAAGCCCATTTCTGGTGTCCCCCGCCGTGATATTGCTGGAATATTGCTAAAAGCGGCGTAAAGCCATACTCACTCACTCACTCACTCATAAAGATGAAGTAAACTGCCGGGCAAAAGAAAATATACACCAATGTTTGATGGTGGCTAAAAATGAAACAAACAAGACATGGTTATACGATGGCGATTTATTTGACATATCATAAACTATTTAGTTGTGTTTTGGACCTTTGAAGTGTTTCGGCGACTTTTTTCAAACTCGTAACCTTTTGACAACGTTTGTATTTTTTTTGACAAAACCAAGTTTCAGGTGTATATTTTCTTTTGCCCGGTAGTGTATGTATTCAGACCGCATTGACATTGCCAGAAGTGGGGTAGCTGTTTGGACTCTCTCTCTCTCTCTCTCTCTCTCTCTCTCTCTCTCTCTCTCTCTCTCTCTCTCTCTCTCTCTCTCTCTCTCTCTCTCTCTCTCTCTCTGGGGGGCACGGGTGGCCCAGTCGACTAAGGCGCCGCAATTCGCTGTGCAGAGTCCCATCCCTTGGGCACGCCATAAACCTATGTTTGTGGGTTCGAATCCAGGTTCGCCCCGATTATGTTTCTAGCTTTGTCAGAACCATACCGGTGCTCGTGGGTTTCACCGAAGTGGTCTGAGACCTGAGACCTGCATCACTTCTGGATTTCCTCCCACATTAAGCTGACACGCCGTGATGCAACTGGAAAACTGTTAAAAGCAGCGTTAAACCCATCTATCTATCTCTCTCTCTCTTTCTTTCTCTCTTTCTTTCTCTCTCTCTCTTTCTTTCTCTCTCTCTTTCTTTCTTTTCTTTCTCTCTATCTCTCTCTCCCTCTCTCTTTCTCTCTCTCTCGTTCTCTCTCTTTCTCTCTCTCTCTCTCTCTCTCCGTGGAAGAGCGAAAGGGTCCGGGGCGCGTCATATCAACTGACGTTAAAAAGATGGTACTTGTTGTTACACACACAGGTCGCTTTTTTAGTGAAATGAGTTGACATTGGCTTCAATGTCGCATTCAAGATTATTTCAGTTATCTAACGACGCGCATGCACATGTGTGTTTAGCTGTTTGTATTATTCCAGATTTATGTCAGTTTTCTGATGCTAGACCACTGAGACACCTTGCTGCAATTTAACATGATTACCACTCTCAGACACCGTATACTGACTTCGACCCATGTCCTAGTTTTACCACTTATTGCCGAGGCAGGCAGGGTAACAACAAGTGCCACCCGTTAACGTCTTTTGGTATAACGCGGCAAGGGGATCGAACCACCGACATTCCGATCTCCGGGCAGAAGCTGTATCCAAATACACCACAAAAACGTGGTTGGTGCATTTATTTAATTAATCTTTCATGTGTCATTTTTCAGAAGCTAAGGTACAGAGTCAACTCAGACAAGAACATATGTTCTGTGGAATATAACAACGAGCCATTCCATACCTACTGTATACCAGGTATGTGTGTGTCGTTCAGTTCTAATAAGGGAGTGTGTAATTAAGTGTTGCTAAACGTTTCGGTCTAAAAGATTCAAACTGATTCACGGCATGTTTATGTTTCTGGGTTTTTGTTGTTGTTGTTGTTGTTGTTGTTGTTGTTGTTGTTGTTGTTTTACGCCGCACTCGGCAGTTGGGATATGATGACATACATCAACCAAGTCTGTTAGTTATTTGATTGTCTGATCCGAACTGGATTGTTAACAGCCCGCCGTCATATAGCTGGAATATTGCGGAGGGCGGCGTTAAACAACAAACAAACAAAACTAACGTGAATCACTGTTAAGCAACTACATGTAACAAAGCTGTTTCCATAGTCAAGTTTTAATCAAGGTCATTTAGTCAATGATTTAAATATTTAATTTGTCATTTTAATACCGAATGTGGCCACCCCGTGACTCCTCCATACATGCGGGGTCACGGGTGGCCCAGTCGTCTGAGGCGCCGCGATTCGCTGTGCAGAGTTGCGTCCCTTTGACACGCCAGAAACCTATGATTGTGGATTCGAATCCCGGTTCGCCCCGATTATATTTCTAGGTTTGTCAGCACCATACCCGTGCTCGTGGGTTTCACCGAAGTGGTACACGTCAGAGACCTGCATCACTTCTGGCTTTCCTCCCATATTAAGCTGACACGCCGCGATGTAACTGGAATACTGTTAAAAGCGGCGTTAAACCAAACTCACTCACTCACTCCTCCATACATGCAACGACTCTGCGTCGGACGGAAAACGTCAAACGTCTGATGAGGTCACATGACAACCGTCGTTAAACAACATACAGACAAACAAAGAAACAAATCTATCATTCGTCTTTCAGACTCTGCCACGAACAGGTTTCAGGTGAAACTGGGTTTTGGAGATAACTCCCTCGAAGCAACTGCTTATTATGATGAAAGTAACCTTCAGAATGGCAAATACCAAATAGGGTCATGGTACTTCGTCAATGAAGCATGCATTCCTGTTCAAGGTGACAAAATTGGTCTGGACAAGAGTGAGTATTTGGTGGCGTATTCATTTGGAAAGAACTGCATTTTGTCAATATAATGAACATATTCCAAGAAGTAAACATAACCGATATGGATTTATTAATAACTGCGTATTAATCTTATTATGATAAGAAAGTGAGTTGAAATTGTATGAAATTTAAGTGTGGCATTCAAGATTTTTGCACTCATAGCGATGGGCCTGCACGTACGTGTGTGTGTGTGTGTGTGTGTGTGTGTGTGTGTGTGTGTGTGTGTGTGTATGTGTGCTTGTACTAGTCCGGACTAGTTCCAGTTTATAATGCTAGCCCACAGCGGTACCACATTTTAACATGAATATCCCACTTATGGTCAAACGCAGTACACTGTCTCCGAACACAAGGCAAGGCAACAACAAATATCATCTTTAAGCGTCTTTTCAAACCGCCGACCTTCCAAGAAGGACTGATTTTATAGCTTTACAAACAAACAAAATGGCTTTACAAATTCAAAATGTACCTTCACAGCAAAAAAAGTGTGGGTTTCCGTCTTGCGGAAACCTTCTGGAAACCTTCCGGACACCTTCCCATTTTGGATCCGGCCCGGATACCTTCCGGAAACTTTCCCAAAAATTTGTCAAAATTTGGGGGGTGCATTTTGTTCACTTAAGTGTGAAACACATAAAAAAATTATCTTGAAAATACCAAGAAATTTGAAGGTTGCTGAATGCATCTGGAAGGTTTCCGGGAGGTACCCGGGTCGGATCCAAAATGGGAAGGTTTCCGGAAGGTTTCCGGAAGACGGAAACGTACACTTTTTTGGCTGTGCTGGTAATTAGGGTTTATAAAAAACACAAAAACTAAAAGGCAGTATTGGAGGTTTGTACAAATATTACAAAAACTTACGCCTCCAAACAAAAATAATGAGCTTTGAATTATGAGCTTCTGAAAGATACGACTAAAGCGTTCCACTCTGGCTATACTTTACACTTATTCATTGGTTTCTTTACAGAGTCGTTTCTCGACACCACGATCATCGCATCAATCACTACCGGCTTTGATGACTCAATCTTCGATATTCCATCGATCTGCCCCACCGTTGTCCCTCCGATGGTACGGATTGAATTTTTTATATTGTTTGTTTGTTGTTTTACACCGCAATTAGCAATTTTCCAGCTATATATATCGAGTAAATAATCGAGTCTTGACCAGACAATCCAGTGGTCAGCATCCTGAGCATCCATCCATGCAATTGTTTGTTTGTTTTTTGCTTAACGCCGCGCTCAGCAATATTCCAGCTATATGACGGTGGCCTGTAAATAATCGAGTCTTGACCAGACAATCCAGTGGTCAGCATCCTGAGCATCCATCCATGCAATTGTTTGTTTGTTTGTTTGTTGTTTAACGCCGCACTCAGCAATATTCCAGCTATATGACGGTGGCCTGTAAATAATCGAGTCTTGACCAGACAATCCAGTGGTCAGCATCCTTAGCATCCATCCACGCAATTGTTTGTTTGTTTGTTTGTTGCTTAACACGGCAATCAGCAATATTCCAGCTATATGACGGCGGCCTGTCAGCGAGCCTGACCACTCTATCCCGTTATTCGCCTTTTACCGCAAGCACGGATTGCTAATTTTCACGGGTTTCACGGGTCAATCAAATAGTTGCCAAATCTGAATGTACAAATACTGAACCGCAAAAGAAACGTCACCATGGATAGATATATGAGAAACCTTATTTGTCCAAACACTGTAAACCTATTGTGAGACATATGAAATAGATCTAGATGAAACTTGGAAAAACTGATCATCAAGGTTGAAATTAAAGTGTCAAATGTTCTTAAAGTGAAACACAACACTAGTCTCTGGGAAAATGGCATCACAAGTCAGTATCTCGTGTGTCCGCCATGGGCATTGATGACTGCCGTGCAACGTCGATACATGGAATGGATGAGGCGGTTGATGAAGGCCATAGGCACTTGAGCCCACACTCTGAGGAACGCCTGACGTAGTTCAGCTGCAGTTGTCGGCCTTGGTCGGACGTCATTCGGCCGTCTTTGAATCTCGTCCCACAGGTGCTCAATGGGATTTAAATCGGGACTGTAGGCAGGCCACTGCATGGTTCTGATGCCATTCTGCTGGAGGAAGTCTCTTGTTGCTCTCGCAGTGTGGGCACGGGCGTTATCATGCTGAAACTCGTGGTTTCGGCGACGTGCCAAATGAGGTATGGCGTGTGATCTCAAGACTTGATCAATGTACCGAGCTGCTGTGACCCCATTGCCTCTCCCTGGACCGATGTTCTGGAAGACCACTGGGCCCACACCATGCCAACACCATGATGCTCGGACCACCCCACGAGTCTCTCTCAACAACACAAGCATCCGAATAATGTTTCCCACGGCGTCGCCAGACTCTCTCTCTCTCTCTCTGCCATCTGCTGATGAGATACAGTAACGGCTCTCGTCTGAGAAGAGGACTCTTCTCCACTGCTGGTGGCGCCAATGCTGGTGCTGTGTTGCCAACTGAAGACGGTCCCGGCGATGGCGTGGTGTCAGAATGGGTCCTCGGTGTGGCCTTTGACAGTGCAGGTCTGCTCGTCAATCGTGGACGCACGGTGTCCGCACTAATGTTTTCGCTGGTGTGTCCCAATGGTCTGTCGAGCAGTTTCCGCAGCAGTAACAAAGCGATCTTGAAGATGCTGTCGCACAATCTGACGATCCTGACGTCGGTTGGTGACCCTTGGTCTTCCACTACGTGGTCGGTCATCTGTAGTGTTGGTGGTCTGGTACCGTTGCTGGAGCCTGTATATGGTCCTTACGTGTACTTGAAATGCATTGGCTACTTGCAGGGTGGTATGTCCAGCTTGCAATCGTCCAAGAGCTTGGTGTCGCTGATTTCTTGTCAATCTTGGCACGTGGTAGCAATTCAATAACGAATGAATGTTATCCAATCTGGGTGGATTTTTATGGGGCAAGAAATGGGGGAACGCATGTGCATTTCAATTTGCACGGAACTCACGTGCATCGGCATCGGGTTACAGTGGCTGTTGCCGTGATGCGTTTGGGTGGTCGGTTTTATTGTCATCATTACAAGGTAATGTTAAATTTTAGAAACTTTGACAAAAATTACCCAGATATTTAAATGACAGCTTTTCATGCAATGTTACTTGGGGTGACGTTTCTTTTGCGGTTCAGTATATTAACAAAACAGTGTTTCCTTCAACCCTTTGTCAGTGGAATTAAAATATCACAAACTATTTTCCAGATTTAGAAATCTTCTGTATTAATCAGAGTGAGTGAGTTGGGTTTAACGCCGCATTTATCAGTATTCCAGTTATATCGCGGCGTGTCAGCTTAATGTAAGAGGAAAGCCCGAAGTGATGCAGGTCTCAGACATCTACCCCTTCGGTGAAACCCACACGCACGGGTATGGTGCTGACAAACCTAGAAACATAGTCGGGGCGAACAGGGATTCGAACCCACAATTATAGGTTTCTGGCGTGCCCAAGGGACGCAAATCTGCACAGCGAATCGCGGCGCCTTAGACTACTGGGCCACCCGTGCCCCGTATTAATCATAACGTAGCACTCAGCAATATTCCAGCTACATGTCGGCGGGACCCGTGAAGATCCGGTGTAGAATAGGTCTTCAGCAACCCATGCTTGTCGTCAGAGGCGACTAACGGGATTGGGTTGTCAGGCTCACTGATACATGTCATCACAACCCAATTGCATAAATCGATGCTCATGACATCCATCACTGGATTGTCTGGTTAAGGCTAATAATTTAGCGACCGCCGTCATATAGCTGGACCACTGCTGAGTACGGCGTTAAACAACAACAACAACAATCGTAAATAATCAGACAATACACCAGGTCAGTGAGCTTGACCACTGGATCCATTTGGTCGCGATACGGCCATTTAAATCCGGCATTTCTGCAGGGGTACATAACCGAGTACTGTTCATGTTTTTTTTCGTATTTATTAATCAGTTATTACATGCCATCCAGGTTTCCGGAATAAAGTTTTTTTCACTGTATTACAATGCAACTCTCGTAAATGCATGAACAGTTGTGTTGCTATCTGTTTCAGGAAAGGAAGTCGACGAACTTCTTTGATGTCATCCGTTACAAGGCCGCCATTGAGAAGCTGTAAGGAAACACTTTTGTAAGCGTCACAGCCGATATGGAGAAATGTGTTGATTGATGCACATGATTCTCTCATCTTCCCTAGGCAAGGGAATTAACTGACTATAACAGTCCAGTTTCCATCCTTGCCGAATTTCTGTGCTCGATCGTAGCGCCACCAGTGGTTATTACGAGTTTTGTCCCTTCTATGCCCCTCCTATTGACCAATCAGATTCCGCCTCTTGGATCACGTGCATTTGCATCAAACAAAATGGCGTCGCCCAGCAAAGACGATCTGATCAATAATCAAGATCTATATCGTGATAAAACGTGTCTTACATCGCGAAGTGCATCAAAGCACGTGAGCACCTTGATTAAAAACATGAAAAGATTTGGAAAATATCTGTTGACGCACATACTTTGCAAATCCTGCAATCGACCGAAATTGAACGGCAGTTTACGAGCCGGATTTCGATTTCCTTACCACCATTTTGATTTTGAGCTATGCATAGACTCGTTAGCCGAAATATAACTCTATAATACCAGCCTAGTTCGGCAAGTGTGGAAACTGGACTGTTAAAGGCAGTTAACTCTCTTGTCTCGGGAGGATGGATTCTCCATACAGGTTGTGATCTGGCCGGCTGCCAATGCCCACATTCCCGTCTGTCCCTTGCTGAATAAACTGTTAACCATTGTCGATATCACATCGAGCTTGTTGTTATTGTTTACAATGAATACACCTCTTTTGTTTGTTGAAAAACGCCACTCTCAGCAATATTTCAGCTCTGTGGCGGCGGTCTGTATATAATCGAGTCTGGACCAGACAATCAAATGATTGACATCATAAGCATCGATCTTCGCAACTGGAATACGATGACAAGCATCTACCAAGCCACCAAGCTTGACTACCCGATTGTAAATGTAATATAGCATGAGTGAGTTAAATATCCCACAGCATCGGCAATATCTCAGCCATATGGTGACGGGAGCAACGTACGCATTCAGTGGAGGACCGCCTCCGTGGTTTAATGGTAGAGCGTCCGCCCAGAGTGCGATCGCCGACCGCGTCATACCAAAAAACGTTAAAGGATGGTACTTGCTGTTACCCTGTCTGGCGCTCGGCATTAAGGGGTTAAAACAAGGACTGGTCGGCTCGGAGTCAGTATACTGTGTCTGAGTGGGGTATTCATGTTAAACTGCGGCATGGTATCTCAGTGGGCTAGCGCTATAAATCGGCATCAGTTCGGACTAGTACAAGCAGCCACACACACACACACACACACACACACACACACACACATACACGTGCATGCACGTCACTATATAAGTGCAATAATCTTGGACGCGACGTTAAACCCCATCTCACCACCTCATTCGGTGAACGTGAAACCACTAACACAAACAAACAAACAAACAAACAAACAAACAAACTTGTCATGTTTAAAGAATGAGCAGCCCATACCCTTTCTTGTGGCAGACATTCATATGAATTTACTTAATATGACATGCGCCATGCTATCCAATGCTGTAACCTTTACATTTCACCGCTCCGTATTACGGGTAAGCGATCTGTGGAGATCCGGGGTAGAATAGGTCTTCAGCAACCCATGCTTGCCGTAAAAGGCGACGATACTTGTCGTCAGAGGCGGCTAACGGGATCTCACAACTTACATGACACACACATAATTTCTCAACCACTTACCTGATAAACACGCAATTTCACAACCATGCACTTACCTGACACACACATAATCTCACAACGACTTGCCTGATACACACATAATCTCACAACTTACCTCCCCCGTGTGGATCCGGGGTAGAATGTGTCCTCAGCACCCCATTGCTGTTCGTAAAAGGCGAACAAATTGGGTAGCCTGTTTGCCGTTGGTTGCGCCCCTGTGTCGGTGGAGGTGTTTGATTCAGGTGGTTGAGGGCACTGGAGCCAGAAGAGTGTTCCTTTTGCCCAACACACCACTTGGACCCTAACTTCACCTAGACGGGTGGTAGAATGAGTTGCTGAAGACCTATAAACCCCGAAAAGGCGATTATTTACAGATTGCGTGGATCGATGCTCAAGATATCAATCACTGGATTGTTTGGTCCACACTCGATTATTTACAGACCGCCGTCATATACCTGGAATATTGCTGAGAGCGGCGTTAAACATCATCATCATCATCATCATCATCATCATCATATTGCTCAGTGTGGCGTTAAACAAATGTGTTCGAATGTATTCAGATTTGATGTAATCGTTTATAAGCTGCATAAGAAAGATTTAAATCAGGCACATTTTACTTAATTTGGAGGGGGTGGAACTGAGCAAGCCTGACCACCCGATCCCGTTAGTCGCCTCTTACGACCAGCATTGTCGCCTCTTACGGTAAGCATGGGTTGTTGAAGAACTATATTCTGACCTGAATCTTCTCGGGTTCGTATGTTTGATACGTGCATGATTCAAACTTGTGTCACGTGGTTCGTTTCCAAAAAATACATACAATAAATCACATGAGTAAAAAGGAAACTTTTTGTTGAAATTAATAATGCATTACAAGGGAGAGAGGTTTCAAAAGCATCACATTACCGGTGAGTTTATTGATGTGATTGATGCATTACTGCTTTGGGACTTAAGAGCAACAGAGATATATCTCATCCATGGTTGTCATCGCTGATTAAGCGTTATGAACACGTGTACGGCTTTTAGAAATATAAAACATATTAATTTGAAAGTAGTCCTTGGCATTAAATGATATATGATTATTATAAACGATATATAATTATTAAAGTCTGTGAATATTACTTTTCTCCATTTCTATAGATTGTATGAATCATAAACCAACCGTAACATGGTTACCGGGGATAAAATTCGTTTTCTTGTAAAAGGTCAATGAATAGTAATAGCTTCATTAAATTGTTATTAAAAGTAATTGATAGCGCTACTATTATCAATAAAACCAAATTAATATCACAACTTTCTGTCTAATTTGTTCAACAAGGGGGATGAGCTCAGCTGGATTTTGTGTTTTTAACTTTATCAAACATAAATAAGGTGTATTGTGCAAAATAAATAACACATGCCTAAAAGAATACGTTTGATCCATTAAGATATACTCAAGAAGATTTAAAATCTAAAAACATTCCAAGATACAAACACAAATGTGGACCAACTTTTGAGATGACCCCTAGTGGATGCTATTGCTTATAAGGAACAGGATTCCGCTTCCTCCACACGTCTGACCATCCCTGGGAATCATGTTGTTGTACTTAGCCTTGTTGTCCGTGTTGCCCTCTGGTCTGTCAGGGGGTAATATTTGTTGTGCCCCCGACAGGTGGGCGGCAGACAGACACTCCGCAGGTCTTGCTCTGGTCAAAGTAGAAGGCGTGAATGTTCCCTTCATCGACGCGGTAGGTACATTCTGGTTCTGCTCTCTCTCTCTCTCTCTCTCTCTCTCTCTCTCTCTCTCTCTCTCCATATATTATTGTTATCGTGACACAACGATCTTCCATCTCTCTCTCTCTCTCTCTCTCTCTCTCTCCATATATTATTGTCATTGTGACACAACGATCTTCCATCTCTCTCTCTCCATAATTATTGTTTGTTCGTTGTTTATTGCGGCACATCAATATTCCATCTTTCTCTCTCTCTCTCTCTGTCCAAAATTATTGTTTGTTCGTTGTTTATCGCGACACAGCAATCTTCCATCGCTCTCTCTCTCTCTCTCTCTCTCTCTCTCTCCATATATTATTGTTTCTTCGTTGTTTATCGCGACTCACAACAATATTCCATCTATCGCTCTCTCTCCATAAGTTATCGTCTGTACGTTGTTTATCACGACACACAGCAATATTCCAGCTATATGACGGCGGTCTGTAAATAATCGCCTTTTCGGGGTTTATAGGTCTTCAGCAACCCATGCTTGCCTTAAAAGGAGGCTTTGCTTGTCGTAAGAGGCGACTAACGGGATCGGGTGGTCAGGCTCGCTGACGTGGTTGATGCATGTCAGTGTATCCCAATTGCGTGGATCGATGCTCATGATGTCAATCACTGGATTGTCTGGTCCAGACTCGATTATTTACAGACTGCCATCATATAGCTGGAATATTTCTGAGTGCGGCGTTAAACAACAAACAAACAAACAAGTATAGGTTCTTGGGGAAACCCTGAATCCCGTCGGAGTTGATATTAATATCTTGTTAATGTTAATATGATGTGGACAAGATGTCTGATTTCCTGGTTTCAGGGGCGCTCTGAAGAATATGTTGATGCCGCGAGTCAGAGATATGCCAGCATCAGTAACTTCAGCCTCGAAGACACACAGAGGGAGGTCAAAATTATCGCCGATTACAAGAAGGTAATGTATATCATATTCAGCTGTTGTTTATTCTGAGGTTCTAAAATATCCTGAGGGCACTGGTGGCCCAGTCGTCTAAGGCGCCGCTATTCGCTGTGTAGAGTTGCGTCCCTTAGACACGCAAGAAGCATATGATTGTGGGTTCGAATCCCGGTTTGCCCCGATTGTGTTTCTAGGTTTGTCAGCACCATACCCGTTCTCGTTGGATTCACCGAAGTGGAAAACGTCTAAGACCTGCATCACTTCGGGCTTTCCTCCCACATTAAGCTGACATGCCGTGATATAACTGGAATACTGTTAAAAGCGGCGTTAAACCAAACTCACTCACTCTAAAATATCCTCTCCGCAGCGCTCAAATGTGTGCGGCATTAAAAAAACAAACCAAAAAACCCAAATCAAATGTGTTCGAACGTATTCAGATTTGATGTATGACATAATCGTTTAGACTGCATAAGAAAACAGTTAAACCGGGCACATTTTACTTAAGAGGAGGGGGTAGGACTTTCTAAAATTATTTTTGTTACAAATTTGAAAAATCATATTTCCCCATCAGGAATACACATATACACTGGACACATATTGTACACGACTCTTTAAGTCAATGACCGTTGTAAGGCAAGGAAAACACAGACGAGCAAGTGATGCGCTTTTTTCGAATCCGGTGACTGACACTAAAGTGAAAATCCCATTATATATTAAGTCTTTGAAAGGCATTTACAAGTGATACGTATAAGGAAGAGCATTTATGGATGCCAACTTATTTATAATGAGGAACACAACGTTTCGGGGTATATGCTTACTCCTTCATCACCTCGACCGCCTCCGTGGTCTAGTGGTAGAGCGTCCGCCCGGAGAGCGGAAGGTCCGGGGTTCGATCCCCATCCGCGTCATACCAAAAGACGTTAAAAGATGGTACTTGTTGTTACCCTGTCTGGCGCTCGGCATTAAGGGGCTAAAACAAGGACTGGTCGGCTCGGAGTCAGTATACTGTGTCTGAGTGGGGTATTCATGTTAAAACTGCGGCATGGTATCTCAGTGAGCTAGCACTATAAATCGCCATCAGTCCGGACTAGTACAAGCAGCCACACACACACACACACGTACATGCACGTCGCTATATAAGTGCAATAATCTGGGACGCGACGTTAAACCCCATTTCACCTCACCTCACCTTCATCACCTCATGAAAGGAGTTTATGTCAGACTAAAGAACATCTTTTGTTCAAGACCGGGGTATTATAAATGAGTAAGTATCATTTTAACATGACATCGCTATCAAACACTAACGTATAAGGATAAATATTTTATGAATTTATGAATATATAAAATTCTCATATTGCAGGGTCGGCAATATACCATCGACCTCAAGAAGAATACGTGCACCGTCAGAACGTTGAACCTTCCATATGCCAAGTTCTGTATTCAAGGTTTGTTTGTTTGTTTGTTTGTTGTTTAACGCCGCACTCAGCAATATTCCAGCTATATGACGGCGGTCTGTAAAAATAATCGAGTCTGGACCAGACAATCCAGTGATTAACATCACGAGCATCGATCCACGCAATTGGGATCGATATGATGACATATGTTATCAACCAAGTCAGCGAGCCTGACCACCCGATCCCGCTAGTCGCCTTTGACGACAGGCATAGTCGCCTTTTACGGCAAGTATGGGTTGCTGAAGACCTATTCTACCCCGTAATCTTCACGGGCCATGTATTCAAGGTAAATTCAAGGTAAATATATCAGATAGATATATAACGATGCAACTGTAAATGTATATTTAGACTTCACATTAGATTATATGCCGGAATTAACATAATTATCATTCTTCAGAGGCGAGTGAGGCAGAGTGTTGGGTTGTGATGCCACTTCTAACATAATTCCAGTTATATCACGGCGTGACAGTATAATGTGGGAGGAAAGCTCGAAGTGATGCAGGTCTCAGACTTTTACAACCTCAAATGGTGAAAGCTCGACATAGACCTCAAGACCTAGAAACATAATAGGGCCGGGAAGATCTGGGGTAGAATAATGTCTTCAGCAACCCAAACTTGCCGTAAGAGGCGACCAGTCAGATCGTGTGGTCAGGCTCGCTGACTTGGTTGATGCCAAAAGACGTCAAGATATGGTACTTGCTGTTACCCTGTCTGTCGCTCGGCATGAAGAGGAGAAACGTTGGTTGGTTTGTTGTTTTAAGCAATAGTCCATCTATATGCCGGCGGTCTGTAAATAATCGAGTCTGGACCAGACAATCCAGTGATTAATATCATGAGCATCGATCCACGCAATTGGGATCGATGACATGTATCAACCAAGTCGCCTCTCATGACCACCCGATCCCGTTAGTCCCCTTTTACGACAAGCATAGTCGCCTTTTACGGCAAGCATGGGTTGCTGAAGACCTATTCTAGCCCGGATCTTCACGGGTCAGAGGAGAAAGGACAAGAGCTGGTCACTATACTATGTCTGAATGGGAAATCCAGGTTAAACTTCAGCATGGTATCACAGTGGGCTAGTACCATAACTAACAAATCAATTTGCAATATTTTGTTGTTGGTGTTTTACGCGGCAATCAGAAACATTCCAGTTTTATGAAGGCGGTCTGAAATAACCGAGTCTGGACCAGACAATCCCTCGCTTTATACCATGAGCATCTCGCGACAAACATGGATTGCTGAAGATCTATTCTACCCGGGATGTTCATGGGTCGAATTTGCAATTAATTTATTTTACCATAATATTATTTTTTTTGCAATAAATGTATTTTTTCAACAATATTAATTATTTTAATTTTTCAATAGAATTAATCATGATATTCTTCACAACTTGTAATGTACTTTCTACGCTTCTCTATTGTGTGTCAGTCAACGACTCTCTCGACAAGTTATTGAGTTTTCCTTTTTCAGATTCATTCAAAAAATCATTTGACATTACGCTTGGATTCGGGGATAACTCCTTGTCAGGAGAAGTTTACACTGAAGATTACAGCGGCATTGGTCCTGATCCCAACAGCAAGATAGGCACCGCGGTGCTCGTCACGAAAGAATGCATTCCTGTTCAGACAGATATATACGGACTTAAGGATTGTAAGTTGCACTTGGCTCACGTGAGAGTTTCTTGACTTCATGTGAATTGTTAGTTCATTTCGTCCCAAAGATAAAATACTTCAAAGCAATAACTTTCAGAAACAGTTTCTAAAATATTTTTCGATCATACATGTTTGGAAAATATATCGTTGACTAAATTTGTTGGCGTCCGTGATCAAGTGGACAGAACGTCTCCCTGGAGAGAGGTGAGGTGAGGTGAAATGGGGTTTAACGTCGCGTCCAAGATTATTGCACTTATATAGCGACGTGCATGCACGTGTATGTGTGTGGCTGCTTGTACTAGTCCGGACTGATGCCGATTTATTGTGCTAGCACACTGAGATACCATGCCGCAGTTTAACATGAATACCCCACTCAGACACAGTATACTGACTCCGAGCCGACCAGTCCTTGTTTTAGCCCCTTAATGCCGAGCGCCAGACAGGGTAACAACAAGTACCATCTTTTAACGTCTTTTGGTATGACGCGGATGGGGATCGAACCCCGGACCTTCCGCTCTCCGGGCGGACGCTCTACCATTAGACCACGGAGGCGGTCCCCTGGAGAGGGAAAGATCGGTGCTTCGACCACTGAACGCGTCACACTAAAAGACGTTAAACGGTTACCTTGCCAGGCGCTCCGCACCAAGTTGATAAACCAAGGACTGGTCGGCTCCTAGTCAGTATCTATGTAAAACTGTGGTTTGGCATCTGGTGGGCTAGTGTCATAAACCGGCATTAGTCCAGACTAGTACAAGCAAGCACACACAAGTGCGCACACACACACACACGCACGCACGCATCACACACACAAACACACACACACACGTGCGTTGGTTTGAAGTCCAATATTCTTGAACGACGTAAAACCCAATTTCACCTCACAATAACAAAATATAAAAAAGTAGCAATATCAAATAAGATATTTAAGTTGTCGGTTGAAATTTGTTTGATACTAATTCATTTTGTATCCTTTTTCAGACAACTTGCTTCAATCAACTGGTTTTGGCACCTACACCACAGACTTTGACGACTCAATCTTCGACATCCCAAGTATCTGTCCAAGCGGTACAGAGGTAAGCAACACCGCTTTATAGACCCGTGACGATTCAGGGGGAGGATAGGTCATCAGCAACCCATGCATGCTGGCCGTAAGAGGCGACTAACGGGATCAGGTGGTCAGGCTCGCTGGCATGGTTGATGCATGTCATCGTATCCCATTTGCGTAGACCGATGCGCATAATATCAATCACTGGATCGTTCTTGTCCGGACTCGATTATTTACAGACCGCAGTCATATAGCTGCAATATTGGTGAGTGCGGCGTTTAACAAACACAGAAAGAAAGAAACAAAATAAACAAAGCTTTATAAAACTGCATCGTTCCCCCAAAAATGAAAATCGAGTGCTCACTGATCCATTGACCGGGGTAATAATAGTGTAGCGCTATGAGCATTATAAATGCACTTCTTCTTCTTCTTATTATTATTATTATTAAAACCAATAGTGCGAGTGAGTTTGTAATTTCTATAACTCCCATTTTCGTATAATTTAGCAAATATCCCAACATATTTCTAACTTCAAAACATGATAAAAACATATTTGTCAGAAAATGCACACATCAAAATCAAACTTTGCACTGCACTTCTCCTATTAGTATAGAAATTGTTCCTTAAGTTTGAAAGGTTTGTTTATTTGTTGTTTAACGCCGCGCTCAGCAATGTCGCAGCTATATGAAGGCGGTTTGTAAATAATCGAGTCTGGACCAGACAATCCAGTGATTGACATCATGAGCATCGATCCACGCAATCAGGTATACAATGACGTGCATCAACCATGTCAGCGAGCCTGACCACCCGATCCCGTTAGTCGCTTCTTACGACAAGCATAGTCGTCTTTCACGGCACGCATGGGTTACTGAAGACCTATTCTACCCCGGACATTCACGGGTCGTCACTTACAGTGAGCATCGATCCTGGCAATTGGGATACGATGACATGGATCAACCAAGTCAGCAAGTCTGTCCACCCGGTCTCGTTAGTCGCCTCTTACAAGACAAGCATAGTCGCCATTTACAGCAAGCATGGGTTGCTGAAGACGTATTCTACCCGGATCTCCACGGGTCTAAATACTGACAAATAGTCAGACTGTAGGGAGCATAACGATAAAACAGAGGTTAAATTCCTTTCGCAGTGTGATTCATAATTTTCGATTATTATTTGGTAATATTTCTGTTTCTCATACTTCAATGCACCAACATATTGATGTACTTCAGAGGAAACCGGTGACCTAATTCGATTCGCTGTGCAGAGGTGCGACGCTTTGGCATTCCAGAAACCTATAATTGTGGGTTTGAATCCCGGTTCGACCCGTGGTCAGGTGTTTACCAAAGTGGTAAACGTCTGAGACCTGCATCACTTCGGGCGTTAACTGAAAAACTGTTCGAAGCTGCGTTACATCAAATAAACGCATTCACCCGCTGATCTGCTTCACCGAAGACAGCCATTAAAAGAATTACTGTTGTTTAAATATTATCCGTATATAAATGGACATATGTCGACGTGCTTCACTCATCTCTGTACACCCGTGGGGATTATTACCTCCCGCCACGATGTGGGTGGGGGGATATTGGAACGTCCGTTCACCGAAGACCCATTAAAATAATTTTAAAACAAGTATCCGAATATGAATGGACGTGCGTCATTCATATCTCTACAACCCTGGGGATCATTATCTCCCGCCACGAAGTTGTCTGTTGTTGTTTTTTGTCTGACCATCCGATCCCGTTAGTCGCCTTTTACGACACGCACAGTCGCCATTTACAGCAAGCATGGGTTGCTGAAGACGTATTCTACAAGGATCGTCACGGGTCTAAATGGATCCATGAGGTAGTTCTCAAGTTATAGGTCGCACAAATGTTGAAGTGAAAAAACATTCCAAGTTCAAAAAGTAAAAAAATCATATTGTTTTTACAGTCTACGGCGACTGACGTTCCCTCCTTTGACGAGATTCGCCAGCAGTGGGCAAAGTATGTGAAGGTGTAGCCAGGATGCTTCCGGATGCAGCCACAGAGATGAATGTTCAGTGTGACCTCCTGGTATCAATGTAGATGATAACGTGGCATCAGTGAGTGTCAAATATGTCAGTATGTCCAACTGTGAAAGATGTCTAGATCTGCTAACAAATATGCCTTTATGCTCCCTGCTGTATCGTGTATCGGTAATGCTTTACCGGAATATGTTCAAACTATCGTCAATTAGATGAGCTGAAAATCGCAGACTGAAAGTCAAATTTCAAAATGTTGGTGTTTATTATTAAACAAGGGAGTGAATTGATTACCATTTAGGGTGAAAGTGAATGCGAGCAGCGGTGCAAAATTCCCAACACATTATTGTGTCGTGAGTGGAATCTCGCGCCATGTTAGAAATATATATCCGTAAATGCATACGTACATTATTGATCTGTTCCGAACATGGAACGCTTACATAGACATTGCCCTGATTTCCTGTATTATCCATAATAGGTTAAAGAATGAAACATAATTAAAATATGATCATAAGAGTAGAATAAACTGACCCACTTTCTCTTTCAATTTGAAAGATAGCTTACATTGTCAGAATTAAAAAAATGTCTATCTAAAAAAAGTCACCAGTGGAGATCCTAAAGCACTATCACCGGAGGAAACGGTGAATATTCGTGTCGGTGGCCACTGTGATGTGTGAATAATGATGCCTGTATTCGCCCCTTGCTGTAGTGTGTGATACATATCAAAGCCGAAATAAATATTTTGTTGTTTTGCATGGACACTTTCATGTTGGAGTTATTGTTTCATATTTAGCATCCACAAATGTGAATTCTAACGGCTCTATAGTATGCCTTTCCTACACAATCCATATCATTTGTTCTTGAATAACGCCGCACATACCGACATTCTCACTCTGTGACGTCGGTCTGTAAAAAAAATCGAGTCTAGACCAGACAATCCAGTGATTGATAAATGTGCTCAACGATCCACGCCGCCGTGGTTCTGTGACACCAATGATCCAAGTCCTGGCATGACTTTGCAGCTGAATACCACGTAGATGTTACGAGGTGATTTTCGATTCGGGGTGGTCTTCAGCAACCTATGCTTGTCGTAAGAGGCGACTAACGGGATCGGGTGGTCAGGCTCGCTGACTTGTTAAGATGCAGGTCATCGTATCCCAATTGCTTGGATCGATGCTGATGGTGTCAATCACTGGATTGTCTGGTCCACTCGATTTTCTTTTACAGACCGCCGTCATGTAGTTGGAATATTTCTGAGTGCGGCGTTAAACAACAAACAAACGCCTCAAAACACCATTTTCTGCATTCTCTAACTAAGCAGCATAATGCGTAGTAAAACAAGTGCCTGGAGAATTCTTGCGCGCAGAAAAAAATATCCTAGTGATTTTAACAGTATTCCAGACCGAAGTGATGTAGGTCTCAGACGTTTACCACTTCGGTGAAACCATCGAGCACGGGTATGGTATTGACAAACGTAGAAACATACCCGGAGCGAACCGGGATTCGAACCCACAATCAAAGGTTTCTGGCGTGCCCAAGGGGTCGCGGCGCCTAAGACGACAGGGCCACCCGTGCCCCCGTGAAAGCCAAAGTGGTGACGACATATATACACATGTACAAAAGTTAAGCGCCACCATATTCATAGTCTCTTGATTTCACGTGTGGGAATCAGAAATACGAAATATGATGATGTATGACTGAATTAGGCTTCCATAGTTTCATGAACCCAAATTTGTCCAGATACCACAAGGAAAGCGTGCTTTACGTGTTGCTGCAGTTCCCCTACCCTATAAATAATGAAATTCAAGTTTCAGACACGTGGTTGCATTTTGCTCCTGTGTGAGATTCCCCTTCCAATACAGGTTGAAAATCAACCATGGTGAGGAGAAAGTTAACGAACGCTGAAAGATGGTAAGTGATAGGCATGAAAAATGCTGGTATGTCATGCAGGGCCATTGCAAGACAAATGGGTCGTCATCACAGTGTTATCACTCGTTTGATTGTCAAACATGGTCTAACCAATGATGTCAATGACAGGGATAGGTCTGGTAGGCCAAGAAAGACCTCTAACAGAGAGGATAGACGTCTTTTCAGGATAGTCAGACGAAATCCATTTGCCACTTCAACAGATTTAAGACTGCAGTGGATTACCCATCAGAGACTCTCGACGATGACCGTAAGGCGTCGCCTCAGTGCGGCTGGTTATAACGCCAGAAGACCAGTAAAACGTCCTTAACTGACAGAGAGGCACATGCGGAATAGTCTGATATGGTATCGTGCCCGTAGTCGATGGAACTTGGCCAACTGGAGAAGGATCGATTGGTCTGACGAGTGTCGAATGCTGTTACGAACTGTTGATGGTCGAATACGTGTTTGGAGGCAACGTAACACTCGTTTTGCACCAAGGAACATCCAGAAGACCTTAGCATGTGTGTGTGTGTGGAGGGGGGAGGGGGGGGGGGGGGGGGGGGGGTCTGTCATGATATGGGGTTGTGTTTCCTTCGGCTGCAAACTTCCGCTGGTGACAATTCGTGGAAACCTGAATGGCCAACAATACCAAGATGCCGGTCTTCGTCCAGTGGTAGTCCCTCATTTTGACAACCATTCTCTTCAGACAAGACCTGTTTACATGGACGACAATGCTAGACCACACAGATCTCGGGCAGTTTTGCTTTATTTGCGTCAAGAAGCTATTGCCACTCTTCCTTGGCCGGCCTGTAGTCCGGATCTTAATCCTATTGAGCATCTCTGGGACATTCTTGGCTGGAAAATCAGACATCGTGATCCCCCAGTTCAAAATCTCGCTGGACTTGAAGCCGCACTACATGAAGAATGGATCCGGTTGCCTCAGAGAAGCATTCAACGACTTGTAATGAATATGAGGCGTAGGGTTAAAGCTGTGGTCAATGTCCGTGGATCATACACACGTTACTGACGTTTCTGTCTTGCAATAGACTATGCACTCCCTAGGGTGTCTATGTGACACCTGATGTGGTCTGCTGATATCATGACAGTTACTTGACAAAAGAAGTTTTTCAATGTTTTCTGATCCTTCAATTTCTGGTCTTCAGTAAAATTCCTTTCTGCTCATATTCTTTTTGAACACAAGATAAACTTGCTTTGGGACAACTTTTGCATCACATGAGGTTTACATATACGGTTCATAACAATCGTACATCTCATTATAATAGTCATCATTAAGTGCCAAAAGTAACAGCTCACAAATATGGTGGGTGGCGCTTAACTTTTGTGCATGTGTATATATGAACGCATAACTGAAAATCAGTAGTGACATAAGGTGTGATGTGCCCCCCGAAATATACCCTAGATAAATGTATTAAAATAAAAACGATAATAACATTTTGAAGTATAGTGTTCATTTCCATAAGTCCACACAATCATACAGTATTTAAAGTACTTAAAAATCTATCGCCCGTTATCGGGTAACGGTCTCGGTCTCTCCAGTGCACTCGATAACGGGTCGTCACAGAGTGGCGCGCACGTTTGAATGATATATAACGAGAAAAAGATGATATGACAACTATATGAACTAGAGTCACTTGCCGAATATCGCCGAAGACGTAACTCGCCCTTAAGTCCATGCGAATAGGAAGTCTTCCACTGTCTAGACGCAGCGGTAGCCAGCGTGTGCTCGGGGCACACACTTCTTCTTCGGATCGCATCTGTGGTCCGAACAGGCCCCAGCCAGAACCTGAAACATGTCGTTGGAGGTGAGGTGAAATGGGGTTTAACGTCGCGTCCAAGATTATTGCACTCATATAGCGATGTGCATGTACGTGTGTGTGTGTGGCTGCTTGTACTAGTCCGGACTGATGCCGATTTATAGTGCCAGCTCACTGAGATACCATGCCGCAGTTTAACATGAATACCCCACTCAGACACAGTATACTGACTCCGAGCCGACCAGTCCTTGTTTTAGCCCCTTAATGCCGAGCGCCAGACAGGGTAACAACAAGTACCATCTTTTAACGTCTTTTGGTATGACGCGGCCGGTGATCGAACGCTGGACCTTCCGTTCTCCGGGCGGACGCTCTACCACTAGACCAAGGAGGCGGTCACATGTCATTTGAGTTATTTTTCATTATTACATAGGGGCACATGAGGCCAGACTTCTCGAGCCCGCTATTCAATGTGCAGAGTTACGTCCACAGGCGTTCAGAAAACCCATGATGATTGGTCCGAATACAGAACTGATCTTTGAACATTGGGCGGTAGGTTTGTCAGCACCAAACGCGTAAAAAGCCGTGGGTTTCTCCAAGGTGGTTAGTTGGTTCGTGTGTTGTTTAACGCCGCACTCAGCAATATTCCAGCTATATGACGGGAGTCTCCAAGGTGGTAACAGTCTTAATATCTGGTTGGTTGGTTGGTTGGTTGGTTGTTATGCGCATGTGTTGTTTAACGCCGCACTCAGCAATATTCCAGCTATATGACGGCGGTTTGCAAAAAATCGAGTCTGGACCAGACAACCCAGTGATTAATATCATCAGCATCGATTCACGCAATTGGGATTGATGATATGCATCAAACAAGTCAGCGAGCCTGACCACCCGATCCCGTTAGTCTCCTTTTACGACAAGCATATTCGTCTTTGTACGGGTTGCTGGAGACCTATTCTACCCCGTAATCTTCACGGGTCTGCATCATGAATACTCGTGCCTTCTTGATTAAGGCTCTAAATTAGCATATTTTTCATGGAGACTAATCAGACTGTAGGGATCATAACGATAAGTCAGAGGTTAAATTCCTTTCGCAATGTGATTATTATTTCTTTTTCTCATACTTCAATGCATATTGATGAAACATATCGATGTACTTCAGAGGAAACGGGTGACCGAGTCGTCTAAGGCGCCGCAATTCGCTGTGCAGAGTTGCGACGCTTTGGCGTTCCAGAAACCTATAATAGTGGGTTTGAATCCCGTTTCGCCCCAATTGTTTCTAAGTTTGTCAGCACAATATGGTGGCGCTTAACTTTTGTGCATGTGTATATATGTCGTCACCACTTTGGCTTTCACGGGGGCACGGGTGGCCCAGTCGTCTTAGGCGCCGCGACCCCTTGGTTACGCCAGAAACCTTTGATTGTGGTTTCGAACCCCGGTTCGCCCCGATTGTTTCTAGGTTTGTCAGCACCATACCCGTGGTCGAGGATTTTACCAAAGTGGTAAACGTCTGAGACCTGCATCACTTCGGGCGTTAACTGAAAAACTGTTCGAAGCTGCGTTACACGAAATAAACGCATTCACTCGATGATCTGCTTCACCGAAGACAGCCATTATAAGAATTACTGTTGTTTAAATATTATCCGTATATAAATGGACATATGTCGACGTGCTTCACTCATCTCTGTACACCCGTGGGGATTATTACCTCCCGCCACGATGTGGGTGGGGGGATATTGGAACGTCCGTTCACCGAAGACCCATTAAAATAATTTTAAAACAAGTATCCGAATATGAATGGACGTGCGTCACTCATATCTCTACAACCCTGGGGATTATTATCTCCCGCCACGAAGTTGTCTGTTGTTGTTTTTTGTCTGACCATCCGATCCCGTTAGTCGCCTTTTACGACAAGCATAGTCGCCTTTTTACGGTAAGCATGGGTTGCTGAAGACCTAATTTACCACCCCACCCCCCTCTCCCCCCACGAAGTGGGACGGAGGTTATTGGAACGTCCGCCATTCGGGTTGTCAAAGGGCACAGGACCCGTGAAGATCCGGGTTAGAATTGGTCTTCAGCAACCC